CGTAGCAATAAAAACTGCCATTGAATTACCAAAGTAGACACTTTAATCACCGAACACCAATTACAACTTAAAACACTAATAATTAATCACGATAATCACTTTAGTTCGCAGTTATATCGCTTCGAAGTATTCGCTTGAATTGCCAATTCAATACTGACCCGGGTCGCGGTCAATACCAGTCTTATATCTTCGAGTGCATACCAAGCCTGACCAACTAGGTGTAGAAAGTTCTATTAAGGAATTTTCTAGAAATCTCTCCTAGTTCTGTTACTCTAACCAAGATGGTGCTAGTGGCATTAATTATGGCGCGCAACACTAATGGGTGGGACATAGGAGTAAGATTGCACCATAATAATTTAAGTTGTTGCAACGTGAGCGCGCATCCTCGATAGCAGTGGAGGCCCTAGCAAAAATTTTTAGTGGTGCGAGGTCTCAAGAGTGGCGCCCCTCTAAATACAAAACCTTAGTGTTCCTATACTATGCAGTTAATTTTTCGTGATTTTAAATGGTATTAGATTTAGACCTATCAAATATCTACAGGTGTACATGCGGGGCAAGCACAGTTGTGTCCTTGTCGTGTCTGTCGCTGTTGCCACAGCAGTTGTTCTCCTTATTCGGGTTAAAGAAATGTTGTCCCTTCCGCTCGCACTGCTCTGTTGCGCTCGACAACGCCACTATGCTTGCCTTGCTGACGGTGACTAGTTGTAAAGAATATTTCTCATAATAAGAGTTAATAATTTTGTTTGACAACTTTTATTTAAACTGTTGTTCAGCGGTGTTAAAAAAGATAAAAAAATTACCAACAACAAACTTATTGAAAAGCCTAGATGCCCAGCTTTCTGGTAAATATAATATGCGCTTGCAATTTTTCTATTAATTCGGAATAATTTAACTACTGGGCAATCGAATTTCCTATGGAAAAGATTCCAAGATATGATAGCCTTTCCTGATACATAATAGAAACGTAGGTTAATTTTTAAATGTTTTAATGTACTAAAACTTCGTTTTCGTTTAGCGATAGTTATAGTACAGGTATAGTAAGCAAAATACGAAGTACTGTCTACACATTTGGGAAAAATATCCTACCAATCATTATTTTTAATAAGTCTGAGAATTTCATGTGGCTCTGCTGATTGAAGATATTTAAATAATGGGTTCAAGCTCAAGTTCCTGAACCAATTTACAATTAGACAAATCACATTATGCCCATCTGTTCACCTTATTTGCAAATCAACACAGGCTTTTTGACCTTTCAGGAATTGTTTTCATTTTGTGTAAAAATAAACACGTATCATAGAATTTTGATAGTTTAAGTCAAGTAACCAATGCACTTTTTATTGTATCGATCACAGGGTAAAAAACGTTAATTTTTAACAATTATTTAGGATCAGTTGGTGTCTCACCTACGGCTTCTTACACAAATAATATTATTTTTCTTCGGGATTAAAAAAGTTACAGCCTATATACGTCCCACTGCTGGGCTCAGGCCTCCCCTCATTTCTGAGAGGGTTTTAGGGCAAGGAAGTGTCCGCCGCGCTGCCCAAATGTGTCTTGACGAACTTCACATGTCTTCGAAATATTTTTTTTTCTTATTCCTCAGACATGCAGGTTTCCTCACGTTTTTCCTTCACCGCCGAGCACGTGGTAAATCAGCACTTAAAATTGCAATTAACAATTTCATTGGTGCCGGCGGGGATCGAACCCGGGTTACTCGCGTTCTGTTATATTTACAGCGAGCGTTAACCACTGAGCTACCACGGCTTACTGAGCTACCACGGCTCGCACGGCTTCGGGATTGGGCTGGCTTAAAAATTGGATCTATCTGTTATTAGATCAGATGAAAAGGTTTGGTACTGTTTCAAAATTCTGACAAATTTTTCAAACAATACGACACCTTTTGTAAAACCATAGATTCAGACTGCATAGCTTTTTTATTGTGCGAGCAGTTATGCAAAAAATCTAGAAAGACCAGTATCACTGTGACCTAAAAGATCTATTGTGATCGCTGCTATGGCTATAGTTCACTGCTAAGATGCTGCTGATGGTAAGTGGATGATGTGGCCCATAGACATCTACATTTATCTTTAAAGATCAAGATGATCGATTTTTACGTGGTAGAGCCATACTGCAGCTTTATTAGTAGTATATCTGTAGCATGAATGGGTCGGCTCGACCGGGGGAAAGACCACGCTCTCGCAGAATACCCGCGTAAAATAGCTTAACGCTGCTGTGTTTCGTATGTTGAATGTAGAGAACCGGAGACCCTTTTTGCTGGAATGACTGGAATGAATGAATGAATACTGAGGCATTTCGTCCTCACGGGTGATAACGCATTTGCATTTCGTAATCGAGGATAGTCTATGGGTCACAACAACCACTAACCATGTAGCGGACTGTGTGCTTGTTTGTCACCGTTCTCGTGTAAAAAAAAATCCAAATACACATGCGTTCTCATCCCTGAGAACAAAAATGGAATGGCTCGCATCAGGTAAAAAGGGGTTCTCTACACTCGCCCATTCGAAACACAGCATCATTAAGCTGCTATTTTACGCTGCTGAGAATACCATGTCGCCTCTTACGAGACGATATAGGGTAATAGATATTCTTACACCGCCACTGCAAGCAACAAGCAGGTCGTAAAATCAATTTATTCACACAATAATAACTAATATTTCAACTTGAATGATGCATATCTTGTGGGAGCCCTCGCCCATTGTGCACGCGTTACTGTCTGGGAATATTAATTAGTATTTTTATAGCGTTGATGATAATTCATATCCTTCATTTTATTTTACAGCGTCGATGAGTTAGTTATAAATATGCCTGATCGTTTCCACCGTCCATCATCAGCATTATGCAAGTCTACAGCCAGATGTGGTCTACGTTCAGACGTACACTTCTAATTTTGGATTTGCCGTAATCGCCAAGCTTTAAATCGGCGATCGTAATACCAATTTTCTGAATTTGAATAAACGTAGTACCGAGCAAAAGGTGGTCCTTTTCCGCATAAGGTTCAGTTTTTTTTTTTAATAGGATATAGGACCCATTCCTGCTACAAATATACTACCTTGAAACCTGGCAACTTTGCCATTTTCGGAACGACTTAATAGTTTAGGGCGAATTTTCTAACATAAAAAGTACTCTTAGACTGGGCGTCCAAGTTAAAAGTGGCACTATATTCTTCATAGATTTCGTATTTACCAGTGATTTAAACAAGTAACGACATTAAATAGACAAAATATTCAAAATTAAATAATGGCAAAGTTAACTTTGTGGCAACTTTGCCATCAGGGCTTATAATGAAAATAACAGGATTTGCCTTGAAGGAAAATTTACCCTATAATATAATACACAATACTCAGATTTATGATTTGCTTCTTTAATTGTACTGAAAATAGCAAAATTTACGCTTGTGGCAAAGTTGCCCTCGCATTTTTCAATTTTTCATACAAACTTGATAATGTGTCAGGGTTTTCAAAAAATTTTGACTACGTACTTAATTCTTTTATTTAAATCTTTTCACAATAATTTCTTAGACAGAAATCTAAAATATATCAAACAAAAATACTCTCCTCTAAAATTAAAAAGCCAAATAAGTGAAAATAGGCTTAAATCTATCATTTAGATAATAAATAAAGCTTGTCATAATAATTTTTAACAAGCATAATTTTTTTTTAGTTTCAAAAACATTATATTACGATCAGTTAAAAGAATAATTATAACCAAATAAATATTGTTATAAATATTGTTTTCCCAAAATAGCAAAACATTCATTTAAAACACATTAAAAATGACAGTTATTTGGGTGCAAATTAACATCAACACACTAAGTTAAAAAAATGAGAAATATGGACTTTTTTATTATTACTCAGTAAAAATAATACAGATTTCTCTTTCTTTTCCTTAACTTTTGATAAAGATGAATCGATTGACAACTTATTTGGTAAAATTGGTCTAAATGGCATACATAGAATGTCACGTACAGAACCTATTCTTTGATTCGTCGTAATCGGTTAAAAATATAGGTTGAAAGTTACAACCCTTGGTTGTAACAAAACATGTCAAGCTTACCGTCACGTCGTCGCATCACTATTGTGGTAACTTCGACAAGTCAGTTTTATAGACAATGACATTTATAGACAAATGTTAATAACGAAATGTTACATCTCCGTATTTTAAGCAAAATCAACAAAAGTTCTGAAGCACTAAACAATGAGGTTAAATCGCCGGCACAATTCCACGTTAAAATAAAATGTCAAATATCAAAAACAATACTGTCAATTGGTCAGGCATATCTCGAAGAACGTTATTGTCCGTATTAATCGTAATTTTGTACCTGTACATCGCTGATGGCAACGTTAACTTCCATTGGTGATGTGATCAATTTCAAACGGTTAACAAAATCAGAATAAAAAAACTATTACAGTAGCCCCCCCCCCACGTCACTAGATGGAGTGACAATCTGGTAAGAGATGGATGCAGGGGACCGTAATTTTAGGCGCTCTTTGAGGAAGGCCTATGTTTAGCAATAGACTTTTTTTATAGAGTAAGGGTGACAAATGAGCACACAGTCCACCAGATGGTAAGTGGATGCTGTGGTCTACAGACATTTATATTGATTAAGAATCAAAACGCAGATGCGTTGTCACCCCTGAGGACTAAGATAGAATGCTTCGTAAAAAATGGTCTCCGGATATCTACACTCATCATACGAAACAGCAGTATTAAGCTGCGATTTTACGCTGGTATTCCGTGAGAGCGTGGTCCTTCCCCAAACCGACCCATTCGTGCCACAACCATAATATAGCTGCAGCGTGGAGCCACCATGTATAAAATGGATTTGTTATGCTGGTGAAGTAGTGTTGATATGGGCGTTAATATCACGTAAGCTATTTACAATAACTGGCTACGGGTCATATAGCCGAATAACTAGTTAAAAGTAGAACGATAAACTGATAATAAGTTTTGTAAATAATGACTAATCTTCGTTTAATCCGCAGCATCATGCGCCACAGCCCTCAGCAGAGACGGCGAGCCCTGGGATCTAGTGGCGAACTGTGCGGGGGAGACCCGGGTGGGGCAGACAGAGGCGGTGTACTCAGAGGGTATCTTCACACTTAGTTGCAACGTTGCTCAGCAGTGCGCCAAAATGAAAGTCGGACGACTAGTTGAGATCTCCAGCGGTCAGATGTACAGTAGTGATAAGGTAAACAATACAATGCAATGACTAAACATTAAGAACATTGGCCCATAACAATATATACATCAATATAAACATAATACCATTTAGGGAACTTTCTTCTTTAGCGCGTCCCTGTGTAGGTGATACATTAACCTAGAGTGCCGAATGCAAGGAATCTCTTTGTATTTTGCGGGAATCTGAGGTACGTAGAAAAAAGCGGAGAATGTGAACAACATTTAATCAATATTTATGAAAACTGTCACACATCATATTAAAGAACATATTTATTTATTTATTGCTACAACTTGCAAAACATCAATTTTACAAATAGAAATATATTTAACTAAGTATAAAAAAATTGATTGCAACGTCAAAAAAGCCACCGATTCAGCATAGTGCTACTAGCGCTGATATTCTGTCAGGGCCACAAGTTCACTCCCGAGCAATCGCTGGTCATAATTTAGTGCCTATTATAAAACTTATAATGACCTTATCAAAGTTATCTTTGAGTCTAATAGTTACATGTAATAAATATTGTGTACTTTAGGTAACTTACTCTATGCTACGTATCTATACTCTATGACTTTGTGAATGTCAATATTAATCTTATATTTATTATCTTATGAGAAATAAAGATATCTCAAACTTCATTAATCTATGGCACAAACTGAAAGTCTATGTACTTATTCATTTCGTTCGTTTTCGTCGTTTAAGGCGTTTGATTTCCTTTAAGCAATAAAAAAAATTATTTAATACAATATAATACATCTTACAATTAAATAATCGTTAGATATATAATAGTCATAGAGTATAGAACATAGCATAGAGTAACATTACTTGGAAAGTACTTTACATATTTCTTATTATATCAAAAGGTAATCAATCATTTATTTATTTTTAAATTATTTACATAAATTTTCAGACCATCATCATGCTCTTTGAGATTCTGAGTTAATATCCATTTTTTGTTGTTTAAATGTGGGTTGTTCAAACTTATCGATGTTCATGGTTAACTTGCACACTATCAACTAATTTTAATTAAGGATTTTACCCTCTATTTATTTTCTAATCATGCCTACTTCTTTTAATTCCTTTATACTTATATTTCTTTAAAGTTGGTAAACTACGGCCTTGCTTCAATTTTCTTGTATTGGTTGCAAGAAATTAAGGTTTAATAATTTTAAATATTGTAATCCTGAATCGACTTGTTTTTATCCTGATGCAATAAATCCTTTTCTGTGTGCATTAGTACTATTTAAATATTTTTATACATAAGCTTATCTCGATTAGTGACCAAATCAACATTAGGTTTATTTTCAAACTATAGTTCTAATAGTCATGGAGTAACTATGTAGCTTTTAACAATTGGACTGTCACTGCTCACACTACACCACTGTGTACCGGTCTGAAAGTTATAGAGATCCAGTATAATTAGAGACTGTGAGATATACCATTTTATTCTTCAGAGGTGACAGAGAATCTGTAGCCTTCTGGTTACAGGTGTCCATGGTATGCAGTAACCACATCATCATCTGTTAGTAAACCATCCATTTGGTGAAACAGGAATTTTCATGAAATTTAATCTCCCTGTAGTTGGTTTTGATAATTTTTTTTCAACTAAAGAGTTTTTATATTAAACACAGCATTCTTCCGAAGTTCTAACATCCTCTTCCTCGTAACCATTCACTCATCAATCCTAGTCAAAATTATACTGGATGACCTTTGTCCGGAAAAAAATTATATGTAACATGTGAACTATGTATGGAGTAGAAGCCTATGGCACTGATATTTTACAAAAAATAAAAACAAAAAGCACACTGGTTTTATTTTGAATTAAATTAATTAGTTAATTAAAATCTATCGAAATTCAAATCATATACGCCCTACTTTACGAACGGCAATAAAACAGTAAAAGTAGGCATCTTTGACATTGTCACTTCGCAGGGTCACAGGCTCAAGGGTAAAGTAATTTTTTTGTAGCCGTGAAAGGAAAAGAAGGATCTCCCGCCGGGCAAGGTGTTCTGCCCGGGGAGTGGCTGACACTCCGTGTGATAATTCGGAGATGTTCTATATATACTGTTTATGATTTGGAATTTTGATAGTGTGATTTAGGCTTCGATGTGTTTCGCTTGCGGCGCGACGACAGCGCCGCTACATCACCCCCTGCTCAGACCGGAGGTCGATAGTGCAGCCTCGTTTCCGACGAATGTGCAAGTGCCAGGAGATTGCCTTGTAGACTGCGGTGAGTCGAGAAGAAGGCAAGTAATCTGCGAGAGTGCCGTGAAGCAGAGGCGAGCAGTAAGGCTCAGAGCCGTGCCGAACACTGTAGCGCAGAGAGTAGCTTGAAGGAACAGGAAGCATTATTATTCCAGTGCTGCGATAAACCTTGTGAAGCTAGCTGGCTTGCAGGATATGAAGACTACAGACGATATCTGCACGGGAGCGAATGGGTGGGGTATTCTATGACGATGATGAAGCTTGAAGTTTCCGAAAGTTGTTGGTTGCGTGTTCAGATCACGTTGGGTGGTCACCACTGTGGGCGTGGAAGGACAAGAGGCGAGATCTCCCGCCGGGCAAGGTGTTCTGCCCGGGGAGCAGCCAACACTCCGTGTGATAGTTCGAAAATGCTCTATATATACTGTGTATGATTCGGAATTTTGATAGCGTGATTTAGGCTTCGGTGTGTTTCGCTTGCGGCGCGACGACAACGCCGCCACAGTTTAAAAACAACTTTGAATTCAAACTTTTTGTTTTTATTTTTTGTAAAATATCAGTGCCATAGCCTTCTACTCTGTTCACATGCTACGCCTTATTCTTTTACTAGATGATAAAAAAAGGTCATTCAGTTTATTACTTAGCTGTCAGTAGCTTGAAGTCTGAACATCTATCTATTACATTTTTTCTGTTATAAATAATATAGTGTCTATCCGAACAGCTGTCCTGAAATATTAAAACATACTTACCTTAATGTTGATGCAACATAGTGGCGCCATATGGTGGTGCCATAAGAAAATTTATAACCCAATTTCCCCCTTGGTTTTCATAAGAGGTGGCTGTAGCAGGAAATGTTCGGCTCGATCGGGGAATGATCATGCTCTCACAGAACACCAGTGTAAAATAGCAACTTAGTGCTACTGCGTCTCGTATAGTAAGTGCAGGGAACGAAAGAGGCTTTCACACTCAAACGAAGCATTCCGTCTCAGTCCTCAATGTGACAAAGCATCTGCATTTTGACTCTTAATCGTGGATAGATGTAAATATTTATGGGCCACAGCACTTACCCACCATCAGGTGGAATCTGTGCTGGTGTGTCACCATTATACTAACTAGATTATGATAAAGTTAAATTAAGATTTGCCTGATACGTGAGAAATCATATTTTATCTATGTAGTACCTATATATACGTGTTTATGTGTATATGTACTTTGGCGTGATATACGCGAAGCCATACGAAAGTCGAAGCGAAGTTTGCTTCCGATTTAACAATGATTTTAAATCGTTGATTAAAGTTTTAATAAGGCTTCTTTCCGTGGCATCACTTAATCACGTTATTAAACAATCAGCAATTCACCGACTTATTGGCTCTTGCTATTACATATAAGTTCTGTTCCGGGTTTCGATAATGTTCTGGAAATTAAACGTATTTTCAGAGAGCGGTAAGAAAAGTTACCATTTTTTGGATGTTGACGCCTTCCTGACGCAGTGACTTAGCAATGTACTGCGGCGCTAAGAGTCGCGGGTTCGAATCCCGCACGGAACAAGTATTTGTATTGCCTATAACTAATTATTCCAGGTGTGGATGCTTCGTGGCGGACTTACTGCGTCTTAACCATCTCAGAAATGGAAGCTGGCTGCTTTCATTTCTGAAATATAGACCCACCTGTGGATAGTATTTTTTTATAGAATTATTGTGACAAACGAGCACACAGTTCACCTGATAGAAAGTGGATGCTGTGCCCATAAACAACTACATTTATCGTCAATTACGAATCAAAATGCAGATGCGTTGTCATCCTTGAGGACTAAAACGGAATGCCTCGTTTCCAGTAAAAAGGGTCTCCGGTTCTCTTCACTCACTATACGAAACACAGCAGCATTCGGCTGCTATTTTACGCTGGTATTCTGTGCGAGCGTAGTCCTTCCCCGGTCGAGCCGACCCATTCGCACTTCAACCATAATATAGCTGCAACATGGCTCTTCCACCATGCAACACCATGTAACATTACTTCAACTCTTACTGCTTCAAGTAACTGTTACATTTTACCGTTGCAGGCTATCAAAGCCGCTGCTGGATATAGGCTTCCCAAATATTTTGCCTGATAGGGGCGATACTTGCCATAGCTACCACACTTGGCAAGCGTATTGGCAACTGCAGTTTCTTTTTCATTTTTAGTCGTTATTAGGAAGACGCTGCTGCCCATCTCTTGATTTGTTTCCTTCTCTCGCCTCTTACGACACCCACGTGATGATATGGTGTTGTTGATATTCTTATACCGCCATTACATGCCCAAACTGTTAACATTTACAGCCACAAAAAGAAGACTGCCCTATTGAACCTTGGACAGTGGAAGGTCGGATGAAGAGCAAAGTCGAGCAGGAGCTAAAAAACTTGGAACCAGAGCTGAGTTACACAATAATCAGGCCAGCCATCGTGTACGGGATCGGTGACAGAAGGAGTTTGAGTAAGTTTAAATGTGTTTCTAATACAAACATTTCATCATATACACTTCTCGCGAACTTTATAAAATGTTCATGACGTTAGCAACCTTTCCAAGTCTTTTTAGACCGAATATCTGTATGCTTATTGTATGATAATATTTTAATTTAACGTCTTTTTATTTAACACATATAAAATGTAATGAGGGTTACCACTAATACGTAATTAAGTACAATGTGTGTGCAACTAAAAATATGCCCGAAACAGCATGGATGGCTGAAGACCAGTGCTGAGTATAATGCCCAGCGAATTCTCAGCCTGTTTCCCTTGCCTCACATTATACTCCTATACTTAGTAATAGTAGTTAATTTGTTAATTTTAAATGTTTATTTTAATGATTTTCTTAAGTCGATATATATTTTTTTAGAATACAAAGAGGATGGTAAGTGGATGTTGTGGCCCATAGACATCTACATTTATCTTCAATTAAGATTCAAAATATAGTAGTATTAAGCTGTTATTTTACGCTGGTATTCTGTGAGAGCGTGGTCCTACCCCGGTCGAGCCGACCCATTCGTGCTGCAACCACAATATAGCTGCAGCGTAGCTCTTCCACGTAGAAATATATGTGTATACTTAGTTTTAATTTGTAAACTAATTTATTGTGTGGCAATAAATATTTTTATTTTTATTAATATTATTATTTGTTCATTCATTCATTACAGCCTATAAAAAGTCATCTGCTGAATAAAAACCTCTTTCAAAGATTGCCTCTTAAGGGCCTATACTATACTACCTCAGCTCAAATTCTAATCTCGTCCCCACTTCCCCGCGTGTCGTATGCTATGTACCGACATGTTTGTAATCACTAATACTGTAAGTAGAAAGGTCGTTAGATACTATTTTTTTATAGGATAGGATGACAAACGAGCACACAGTCCACCTGATGGTTAGTGGTTGCTGTGGCCCGTAGACATCTACATCTATCCTCAATTACGAATCGAAATGCAGATGCGTTGTCATCCGTGAGGACTTAGGTGGAATGCCTCGTCTCCGGTAAAAAGGGTCTCCGGTTCTCTACACTCACCATACGAAACACAGCAGCATTAAGCTACTATTTGACGCTGGTATTCTGTGAGAGCGTGGTCCTTCCCCGGTCGAGCCGACCTATTCGTGCTACAACTATACTACTAATATAACTGCAGCATGGTTCTACCACGTAAAAATTAGGTTTATCATATTTATGCCTGTTTCTTTACGCCAAACCCAGTTGCTTCTTAATTTTATTACGGTTATTTCCCATTTTAATATTACGTCGTCCTGTTACGTAATGTGAATCCTGATCGTAAGCGACACATTTCCCTCGTTTGAAAACCGAATTGAGACTAAGAGGGAGTATCGGGCGGCAGTATTCAAGACGCCGATAGTTTAGATAATTTCTTTTTACAGTGAAAATAATGGTCATTAAAAAAATAAAAACATAAGCCCTGCTTTATAGTTAGTTCAGTTAGTATGCAAAGTTTCATGATCTAATTTAAAGTATTCTGTGAATGTGTTTGAAAAGCGTTTTCGTCTAACATAGTACTTAACATTAATCCTCAACTTTACCATATATTTATTTCAAAATTAATGCTGCAATATTTTCGACATAACGGATTATCTTGCTAAGCCATTTAAAGTAGTATAGGCCCTTAAAGGAGAATTTGACATAGATAGCAGAAGAAACGTTCTGATATCTATGTCAACTACATAAAATTTATTTTCAGTTTGACGCTGTTGCGAGTATTTAAAATCTTGATTCAATTTAATTTTTTTTTAATTTTAATTTTTTATTTTTGAACACGTATATATTCTTTATTCTACACCGTTCTTAGCAATACATGAACGACATAAGAGTATGATTTATACTGCTTCGAAATTGAGTGACGAGATGGGATTGTATTTTGGACACATTTTTCTTCCTTAAATACTTTAGCCAAAGATAAGGACTTTCGGTTTCTTTTTACTGGAAGAATACATGATACCGACTGAAAAGTCAAACACCTAACTCACTATAACACTATTCACAAATAAATAAATGAATTTGTAATGAATGCCTTGATGATTGAAAATACATACGTACATACTTACCGGTATCCCCAGCACCACGATTACTCATCGGTGGAATCTATAAGCATCTTGGACAAACCATGAAACTCCTATGGACAGCCGACTTGAAAATGAACACCGTCCACGTGACAGACGTTTGCCGCGCCATCTGGACGCTGGGCAGGGAAGCTGAGGCCTGCGGACAGACATACAATGTGGTGGACGAGGCGAACAGCACGCAGGGCAGCCTCGCCAAACTCGTGTCAGAGATATTCAAGATAAAGCATGATTACTATGGCACAGCTATATCCACATTGGCCAAGGTAAGCAAATATTTACTCTGAGAATGAATCAACAGACTTAGCCATGTTTACTTTATACAATCGTTAGAACGCGAAAAAAAATTATAACTCACGTGACTTAGTTAACTTAATAACAAGCCTAATAGTTAAACACTGTTTTGTAAAAAAAAACCCCGCATCAAAAATCTATACAAATAAATAAAATAGAAGTGTCTGTTTGTCATATAAAAATAACTGATTTTTACTAAATGCATATGAGAGTATATAAAGTTACAGCCTATATACGTCCCACTGCAGGGCACATGCTCCCCTCATTTCTGAGAGGGTTTTAGGGCAAGTAAGTGTCCGCCGCGCTGCCCCACTGCGTGTTAGCGAACTTCACATGTTTTCGAAATAATTTTTTTCCTTATTTCTCTGACATGCAGGTTTCCTCACGATGTTTTCCTTCACCGTTGAGCACGTGGTAAATCAGCACCTAAAATTGCAATTAACAATTTCATTGGTGCTGGCGGGGATCGAACACGGTTTGCTCGCGTACTGTGAAATTTACAGGGAGCGCTAACCATCTGAGCTACCACGGCTCTGAATCATCGGCATGAAAGTATATACAGTACATAAATTAAAAAAAATTAAAATTTTTGTGTTTGTTCCGGCTAATCCCCGAAATCGCTGGACCGATTTTGACGGGATTTTCACTGGCACATAGCTAATATTATAAAGAGCAACTTAGGTTACTTCTATTTTAGAAAAAGATTAAGGGTTCCGTGCAAAGAAATTTAATTTCTCATAAAATTCAATCGTAATAAATTTAACGCGTACGGTGTCGCGGGTTACAGCTACCATATTATATGATTAAGAACTTTATCACAGCTTTATTATAAGTTTTAAAAATTTAAGTGAAAATTGTTGCTAACCAACCTTAAATAGATCCTGGTCGGAAGTCCGTCTGGACATTAGTCCTATTATTATATTATGTAGAAAGTCAAATTGGCTATCTCTTCAGCAGGATTTAACTATGCGTGTAACTTTGATGGAAATCGTAATTGTTCGTCTTAATGCTTTTTTTTTATAGAATAAGGATGACAAACGAGCACACAGTCCACCTGATTTAGCATCCACTTACGGATGCTGTGGCCCATGGACATATACATTTATCCTCGATTCAGAATCAAAACGCAAATGCGTGGTTACCCCTGAGGACTAAGATGGAATGCCTCGTTTCCAGTAAAAAAAGGGTCTCCGGATTTCTACACTCACCATACGAAACACAGTTGTATTAAGCTGCTATTTTACGATGGTATTCTGTGAGAGCGCGGTCCTTTGCGGGCGAGCTGACCCATTCGTGCTACAATCAGAATATAGCTGCAGCGTGGTTTTATTGTATTGCGTAAATACATCAGTATCATTTATCAACCGACATGAGAGGCCTGGTCCCGGTAACGGTATATATATTTGTATATAAGATGTAATTATACTTATTAAACTTACTTATTAAATATTACTTATAAGGTTTATAAAATATGATCCTAAGATGCGTCTGGTTTGTTCAAAATACATTTTGCATATTTTCATTTTAATACCGTTCAGTCACTTATACATTGACAAAAACGAGCAAACTGTTTGTGAAATTTTGTTTGGTATTTGATTTATTTTATCTAAAATAAATCAAATACCAAATTTTAAATTTTACGTGGTAGAGCCATGCTGCAGTTATTTTAGTAGTATAGTTGTAGCACGAATGGGTCGGCTCGACCGGGGAAGGACCACGCTCTCACAGAATACCCGCGTGAAATAGTAGCTTAATGCTGTTGTATTTCGTATGGTGAGTGTAGAGAACTGGAGACCCTTTTTACTGGAAACGAGGCATTCCATCTCAGTCCTCACGGGTGACAACGCATCTGCGTTTTGACTTTTAGTGGAGGATAGATGTAGATGTCTATGGGCCGCAGCAACCACTTACCATCAGGTGGACTGTGTGCTCGTTTGTTACCCTATTCTATAAAAAAAAATTTAGAACCTATACCTTTAACCATTACTATTACAGCCTACTAAAGTCCAGTGCTGAACAGGAGAAGAGGCCTACGTCACATAGATTGCCTCATAAGGGGAACATTTTCCATAGTAGCCGCACTTGACAAGCGGCTTGGTAACCGCAGTTAGTTGTAGTCGTTATTAGGAGAGACGCTGCTGCCCGTCTCCTGATATGTTTCCCTCTGACGCCTCTTACGACAGCCACTGGATGATATGGCTAGTGGATATTTTCACACCTTCACTACATGGTAAAAGAGTTATACCAAAAGGGGATGAACTTAGTTCCATACAAGCTTAGGCATGGCGTGAACGAAGTACAAATATATTTTATTTTGAATATTTAAACATTTGGTAGGTACTTATGTTAAAAAAATCATATTTTTGCAGGACCTGGGGGTTTGTTTTTATTTTATGTTATGTTTTATGGTTTTGTTATAGAATAAGGGTGGCCTCTCCACTTGGTTTAATCCTCAAAGTTTATAATAATACATAAGTTAATCATATTCTGTCATCCATTTCCGGCTTGACGTTGATTTCTGGGACAGCCGGTATACAATAAGCATATGTATATATATTGTATGTATGTATATGTTTAATTTTTAGAGATCATAAATCAAGGTTACACTTAACACGCTATGAGTTGACTGACAGAGAATATCGACAGGCATTAAGTCCGCCCATTATTACCTTAGTTGTAAGGTGGTACAATAAATAATAACCTATATTAGTTCTCCGAAAAAACATACATAATTGCGAGGTAATACTTAGAAAGTTCTTCCATTTAGTTATTGTTGCTGCCTGCCTTCCTGCTTTCGTTAACGATGCTTGTGATGCTTGCAGAGTGACATGGCGTCAGTAGCGGAGCAGGCGAACGACACTCACCTGACCGCATGGGCGGACATCTGCCGGCGCTACCAGCTGCAGCACACGCCGCTGGAGCCCAGCGCCGGGCCCGAGCTTCTCCTAAACCGCCAGCTGTGTCTGCACGGCGCCAAGCTCGCGCCGCTGCTGCAGCCCCTTGTGCCTGCGCCCACTGCAGACAACTTGCGCGCGGTCAGTCACGAACACACACACACACACACACACACACGCGCGCACACATTCACTCACGTTAACATATACACGCACGCATGCACACGCGTACACTCACGTAAATATAAACACGCAGACATGCACTCACGTACACGCGCGCATACACTCACGTAAATATATACACTAACGCATGCACACACGTACACGCACGTATACACTCACATAGACATACACGCACGCATACACACACGTACACGCACGCAGACACTCACGTAAACATATACACGCACGCATGCACACACGTACACGCACGTATTCACTCACATAGACATAAACGCACGCATGCAGATAGTATACGCACGTGTACACTCACGTAAACATATACAAGCACGCATGCACACACGTACACGCACGCATACACACACGTACACACACATACATACACACACACACACGCATACATACAATCACGTAAACATACACACTGACATAGACATACACGCACGCATGCACACACGTACACGCACGCATACACTCACGTAAACATATACAAGCTAGCATGCACACACATACACTCATCTCGCTTGTACACACGTACACATACACACACATACACGTACACGCACACATAAAAGCACGTAAACCTGAACAAGCACGCATGCACACACGTACACGCACGCATACACACACGTAAACATACACTCACGCATGCCGCACACTTTGACGTACTCAGGCTACGTACTCGCAAGATACAAATAACAGTTTTTAAAGTTTTAATCTGTCTGTCTGTCGCTAATCTTTGAATTGTCTGAACCGATTATCACGAAACTTTAAGAACACATAGAGTTATGCCAGGAAAGATCTGGGCTATATTTCATTCGAAAATCTTAAGGATTTTTTCTTTTGATAAAACGATAATTTGATAAAATAAGTGGTGTTTGATTAACTTAAAGTACCACATCAATAGATAATATCCAGGGTGGGTCGCTAGTTTACTAATATGCTCGCTTACTTAATGTTATTATAGTAACATTTTAAACAATAATATACTTAAGTGTTATGTCTGTTTGCTAAGATTGTGTCGGTACACCTGGAGGCGCGATTATTTTATTGTTATGCTTTTGTTTTATTATTTTTTACTGTGTATTTAAAGGTTTTTTATTCTAGGAATAAAATAGAATACTATTTTATTGTTATGGTTATTGTTATAATATACGAATGTAAATTTTAAACACATGTTAGGTAGCAATGAGAATTTAAATGAAAAATATGAGTAGGTACATAAACAACATAAATGAAAGTAAAAAAGTACTATTATTCATCACTTGAGTGTCGGAATCATTGCCACCTATATTTATAATAAGGTATTCAACGTCATCGGTCATCACGTTCTGAATCCGTACGAAATACTAGTACTACTTTTTGTTATTGGTTCACTCAAAGTTTCATCTTGAGGCACTTCACTTCCCTCCGAAGGATGAAAATACATTTTATGTATACGTAGCAGTCAATAAACCTTTCACTACGGCGTTTCGTTTTGAAAATGCCTAATCCACATTTTCCTGCGGGTGTACGCCGCACGCAGTGACCTTTGAGGAGGCGACGGCGCCTTTGACAAGGTGCGGCACGTGCCAAGGTGACGCTACATAAACACGACCGTAACCGACTACTCGTAAATACGTCGGCGCACAGCATACATCAATGGAGAAATGCTACTCTTATCAGATAACCATGGTCAGGGCCTGATTTATCCACAGGCTAACAAGGTTGGAGCCTAGGGCGCGTGGTTCGAGGGGACGCTGAACTTGCCTTTGCAAGCACCACTTATGTACAGAATAAATTTTGGTATAAAATTCTCAATAAATCATGAAGTAAGCGCCGCGAGTATTTTAAAATTCTTTGTCACATAAAAAAAATATAAAGTATATTTTTTATTACAGGTGCTTGAGGACTACGCTTCTATGAATCTCTTCCCTAAGGAGCTCCTGCTATGACCTGTCAAAACCAAAAACGCTTGGTAAATGTTTATTGTGCTGAAGTGTGGATGAATTACCCCTAAAAATGTAAATCTCTTATGTAACAAGCCCAAAGTGCCGAGCTTCAAATATCGAAATTGTTCTAAATTGTTACTCTAATGTATATTCTTGGCATTTTACTGTGATAAATAATAAAGAGATACCAACCGCCCGATTGTGCTCAAGATATTTTTTGAAGAATTTGATATAAAAGTCATATAAACAATACTCTTAAACTATAAAAGGACCAAACAAACCTAGGTTTTTGACTAAATTCAATTCTGTTTGAATTGCATTTACACAATTCCATCCATTTGTAAAGTGTATGAGATTTTATATAATACGATATTAATGTAAAAAAATCAAAATAATTCCATTGTTTAGTACTTAATTTTTATTAATTTTGTAAGTTTATATTTTGATTTTACTCTTTTAGCAAATAAGTACTTAATCAAATATTATTATAAGCTTCATACCTATGCTAAATACATTTTCTATTTCCTATGACCCGTTCCTTGTTACTGCAGAGATACTACAAAACTTCTCAGTGACCCGCTTTTGTGTAATCAAAAAAGTGTATTTTAAAAGATACTGTAACGTCATTTTACAAAGCAGTTAAATTCAATTTGAACTATATATCTGTCATGTGAAATGACGCGTCAGGTCTGCAGAACGTAATTGGCATAATAAAGATGTCTTTCCATATACTTGCTGTTTTTTTTTATTAATAAGTTAGTAATGCAATATTTCAGCCAAACTCGTGATAGTGGCTGGGAACTTTCAACAACTTTTTTTATAGAATGAGGGTGACAAACGAACACACAGTTCAGTTTAAGTGGATGCTGTGGGCCATAGACATCTACAATTATCGCTATTAAGAATCAGTGTAGATGCGTTGTTACCGCTCAGGACTAAGCTGGAATACTTAGTTTCCAGCAAAGACTATATAACCACTTGACTGCGCATTCAGTGCCCCGACGCTCGAAAACTATTTGTATTTTGTCGCCTATGCATCGGCTATGGTACTATTAACCAATTTAGTATTGTCCAAGTGTTAGACCTGTGTGCACGCTAAATTAATGCAAATTTTTATAACTTTTATGCAATTACATGCATCAAAATGCGCGTTGAAGTGGTGTGGGAAACATTCCAGGACAGATGTCCAAAAAGAATGAAGTAACTTTTCATTGCTAAGTAAAACATACGAAAATTATTGTTGATTAATTCAGATTATGAGCAATTGTAGGGGTCTATCTAAAACGGTCGCCGGTTAAATAACGACATGGTTGAGTCGCGCGTTGATGTCTTTTGGAAAAGTCTCGTTCTATTATTAGACAATTCCAATGCTTCTATCCCTTTCTTTCCCTTTGTATGTTTATCGTAAACATTAGGACTTACTGTTACCTTTAATAGCTGAAAGTCGATATCGAAAATAATAAAATTAAAACTAATAAAAAGATTATTCAATTCACACACTGTGAAAAAAATACTTATCTACTTTTAACCGTCTTCAGAAAAAAGAGGAGGTTCTCAGTTTGTCGGTATTTTTTCTTAGTTAAAGTTTATAGTTACCTAGTTAAATTAGTTAGATTGGTGTACCCAATCAGAATGGCTTACAATTTCAAAAGGACACTAAAGACAATTTATTGTATATATCATACGTGGTAGAGCCATGCTGCAGTTATATTAGATATATAGTTGTAGCACGAATGGGTCGGCTCGACCGGGGAAGGACCACGCTCTCACAGAATACCAGCGTGAAATAGTAGCTTAATGCTGCTGTATTTCGTATGGTGAGTGTAGAGAACCGGCGACCCATTTTACTGGAAACGAGGCATTCCATCTTAGTCCTCACGGGTGACAACACATCTGCATTTTGTTTCGTAATCGAGGATAGATGTAGATGTCTATGGGCCACAGCAACCACTTACCATCAGGTGGACTGTGTGCTCGATTGTCACCCTATCCTATAAAAAAAAAATTGTACGGATCCACTACAGTAATATATATTTGTCGTCGTTGTAAAATTTTTAATAAGAGGGCAATCAGTGAGAGTGGTGGAGTGGTCTTCGAAATATAGTACCAATTATTTTATGAGAACGGTTTTTAAAATCTCTGATTAGGTATTATTGATTCCCGTACATTGATTTTCATCAATTTGAAATAGAATCAATAATATATGAAATAAATCATTTAATTGAATTAGCAAGATGCATAATTTACAAATATGTAGACGCTTGTTTAAATTTTTACAAAGAACAATCACGACCCTTAAACTTTAATTCGAAATAAATATAACAAATTAATTCATTTTAAAAATCAATAATAATATAATAAATAAATGTTTTCGTTGTAACTGGTTGATTTTGATTAAATATTATTTCTATGATTTTAATTGAGTATTTTTCATAATGATAAAATCCATTTTATCGATAACGAATATTTTCCTTTATTAAGAAGAGCAACCCTAAAGATAGCCATAACAACGCACCTTGACCATTTGCAGCCACGCGTTCTTCCTCGTCCCCCGGCCCGCAGTAGTGAGTCGTATGCTTAGAAGAAATCTGCCTATACGCTCTCTAGTGGTTATACTTCTCTTGGTTTCCAGTAAAAAGGGTCTCCGGATCTCTACACTCACTATACGAACCAAAGCAGTATTAAACTGCTATTCTGAGTGTGATCCCCGGTCGAGCCAACCCATTCGTGCTACAACCATAATATAGCTGCAGCGTGGCTTTACCACTTTTTGCATTCTCAATACTTAAGCACAGAGTAAGGACCAGAGAGGAAGCTTGCTAACAACGTCGAAAATGTATAACTATTTAGATAGGGTTGTCACCTGATGAATGTGAAAAATTTAAGGAAAAAAATAACAATAGTATAAAACAACATATGGTTTCATTGTAACTTAAATTAATATAACAACATGTATATTTGTTGTAATTTAAATTGAAACTGCAAAAATTGGATATTTTGCTAATTTTCATAGTATTATGTCTTATTGAATCTTGCTGTAGGGTAAAGCGGCGAATATTGAGAAAATACGTGCAATTTATAATTAAAAACCGCGCGAAACCCTTTGAGGGATTTTAAGGAAATAGGTATACTCACACAAGCTTCATAATAGTAGTGGGCACTAGCGGTGGTTGTGGTGTTGATGGTGATAGTGACTGGTGGTGATGCTAGTCGTGGTGGTGGTTTTAGTGGCGAAAGTGTTAATGTTGGTCCATTACCCACCACCGCCAACGATACCACAAGCATCACCACCAACACCAGCATCACTACCACTAACACCACCTTCATCACTTTTTTTATACACACATATTTTATATATACTGTACAAGTGTTCATACAGAACACTATTAATTACTTATATAAATCTATAATGTCTTCTTTAATAATAAATAATATCTAAACTTAGCTAGCTCCAATAGTAAAAAAAATATATTGTTAAAAAAATTGTATTATATTGTTCTTTCATTTATTTAAATGCTCACGACTAAAAGCCCTTTCATATATACTCTGACTGAGTCGGAGCAAACCGGTTTGTACCGCGACGGAGCGGCGGTGAACCTGTCGGTGAGAGCTAATGCACACATCGCTGCACTATGTATGAGTATAGTCGCAGCGAGCCGTTTTTATTTAGCTTCCCCTCTGGTTGGTTTATTTACTCATGTGACTTAAGTTTTGATCATTAAGTTAAATATTACTCTCATTAGTGTAGTGGCAGTTAAGTAAATCCACTAGCCGCTAAACCAAATAATGACGTAGTAGTATTGTAAAAGGTGACAGAGGTGATACTGAAACAGAAAATAAAGACATACTAATAAACTTTGGAGGAGGCCTACGTTTATCAGTGGACTTTTGTTAGACCGTAATGATCGTAATTATTATTATTTAATTTTGAAATAATATATAAAAAACAGTCCGCTCCGAAAGAAACGCATCGGTACCGCAATGAAGTGTTTTACAATTCAGCAATCTTTTTAATCTGGCAATACCGTCATCCATTGCCATGTAAGTTTTCCCACTTAATCAAATTTTATTTCATTTTTGTGTGTGCTATTTTTTATCTTTTTTCCCTCAACAGAATTGATCACGATGCCTAAAACCAGTCACGGATTGAACAGGGTTGTTACACATTGTATATGTTTATTTCAACGTTAAATTATGACGTCACTGGTAGAAACATACAATTTTTAGAAGCTTCCTTTCGGGGACTAAAAATATACCAATCGACAACAGTTACATATATTAAGTCTATTGGCTCTAAACAGTATTTTAAAGATACATCATTACTGACGACTAAGAGGGCTTAGACCCTGAAATGAACCAGTAGTCACGTGCATTCAGAAAGCATATAATAATAATAATAATAAGGGAATTGACGACCCCATCGCCCGCTGACGTAATCGTAACAGTTAAGTGACAAAACTGCTACGTCAACGCAGTCAGTCCGCCTTGCGAGAGGTGTGAGCGCCGTGCCTCGGCAGAATTTAGGGTACAAAGGCCCGTTTGTGCTTATGGCCACACACGATACGAAGCCGGGCCTGGGCGTCTCCCGTTAATGGACGCCCAAATAATGGATGATGGATGCGCTGCGAATGGAGCGCAAAGGGCCGCTGCCTGGAGGTCGCCGGGGCGCGTCTGGAGCTGGCGCTGGACGCGGCAGCATGCGGGCCGCCAACCGAGCGCGAGGAGCTGCACGGTCAACTAGCAGCCCTCCGCATCCATCATCCCCATTAGAAGGCTTGGTGTCGGCTGGGTCTTCTCGGACTCAGCAAGCGGCACCCGCCGCTGGTGGAGCACGTCGCATGCGTTGGTCACAATCACAAGCAATGAACGCAAACGCACTGCGGGCGTACTTTAGAGCAAAAGGGGAAGAAACTGGATGTTTGGCGTATCGGGCTAGGATGCATCGTCTTTTTGCTGAGCTGGAGCCATCTTTAACCGTCCCAGAGCAAAACCTGGCAGACCGAGTTTGGTATATCTTGCGCTCAAATATATTTGATGTCGCCGAACTCGAACGGCTACGACGTGAGGCTGTTCCCTCATCGGATGAAAATGCTACGGCTGAGGATGCGGCGCCACAAATTGTAGAGCAACCCGCAAACGTGGATGCCGCCGTGAATACCCCAGTTGTGGTTGATTCAAACGATGATGGAGCAGTCGCCCAGGAACTGGAATTAGAGCATATGAGGAGTACATTGGAAGAGGCGATTGTGGAAACGCGCAGTACGCCTCTCGAAAATCGACCGCGACTTCCCCGGATAGCCCTAAGCAAGCGGTATCGGGCTGTCGTGAGGGCTCTGAACCCAATGCTGGTGACCTATTTGGAAGCCAGCCGGGACCTTTGCGAGACGGACTCAATTCTTTTTGGCGCCGCACTGGGAGTCTGCCGTATTATAGGCGCCAAACTCTCCACGGCTGGACGCGCTACTGGACAAAGTAGTGCTATCCCAGCCTGGAGAATAAGAATTAAAGAACGTATCGCAAAGGCTAGCGCCCTCATCGGCAGATGAGATATGCTTCAGGTCAGGCAATAACAGGCCAAGGATTGTGCGCACCATCAGGATGGCGTTTGTTGGGACAAATGTTAGTTTATCCCAGCCGGATATAATGCAAAAACTGACGGAGCGCATAGACGACCTGAAGCAGAGAATCGCTGTTTGGGGAAAGCGGATTCGGCGATATACCGAGAGGTCGACACGGTTCAACCAGAATCGTCTCTTCCAGAGTGATCAGAAGAGGCTCTATGAATCATTGGAGCGACCAATGGTAAGTGGAACGGGCCCAGCACCGAATCAGGCCCACACGGTCGCATTCTGGCGCAGCCTATGGTCAGAGCCCTTAAATCACAGTGAGGGCCCTTGGACGGATGTTGTGGCGAGTCAGTGTGCGGGTATAACGCCCATGGACTCCGTCATCATAACGCCGGATGACGTAGCTGAGGCGGTACGTAGAGCCCCGAACTGGAAAAGTCCGGGGCTTGACGGGCTGCATCACTACTGGCTGAAGGGGTTCATGGTGTGTCACGCTATGCTCCCCCTACAGTTTCAAGAGGCTCTCAACCAGAAGTCGCTCCCAAGCCTCTTCACTACTGGGATCACTCATTTGGTTCCTAAAGACCAGGGTACCACAGACCCGAGCAAATACCGCCCCATCACGTGTCTACCGACCATATACAAGACACTAACATCCATTTTGAGCGCGAGAATCACTCGTCACCTGGACTCAAATCAGGTGATGTCGCGCGCTCAAAATGGATGTCGGGGCGGTGGTCGTGGAACAAAGGAACCACTCCTCATTGACGCGGTCATTGGCGTGATTAAGTTTACTATTATTTACTACAACCCCTAGACCAACGAGGCAGTCATAAATAAGACAATACATGTGTTGTCACATCTAAGATGCCTCATAGCCAGTAATTATAACGCCTCTCAATCCTTCAGAGCAGAACAATGGAATGCAAGTGCAAGTAGGTACTGTTATTTGACGCCAGAAATAGACATGAGAATACCACTTAGTAAAGTCAAAAGACATTAACTTAAACAAATCTTTTTTTGTCCTTGGAGTCAAGCTTTGATATCCGTGTTGGATTTGGTATAGGACAAACGAGCGCACTGTCCACCTGATGGTAAGTGGATGCTGTGGAGCATAGACATTCTACATTTAACCCCGATTAAGAATCAAAACGCAGATGCGTTGTCACCCCTCAGGTCTAAGATGGAATGCCTCCATTTCAGTAAAACGGGTCACCGGCTCTCTACACTCGCCATACGAAACACAGCAGCATTAAACTGCTATTTTACGATGGTATTCTGTGAGAGCGTGGTCCTGCTCCGGTCGAGCCGACCCATTGGTGCTACAACCATAATATAGCTCGTGGCTCTACCGCGTATAATGATAATATAATTCTTAGATTTCACAAAGAAACAAGTCAAGGAAAATTATTTTTTCTCTTACTTGTCTTTCATTTTCGAGTTGAATTGAACATTTTAATACGCAAAAATTTTAAAGCACTGGCTGGCACCCATATGGTACCAAGTAGCCAATCTGATAATGTTACCCGGATGCTGAATCAATGCTTCAAGTTTTTAAATAAACCTTAAAATTATTTTATGACGCTCATTCCTTGGTATACATTAAAGAGTATTGTATTGTTTAATTGTTTTGGATTGACTATTGTGTCCAAGTAAGTTAATTAAGTTATATAATAATTTAATATTATAATTTAATTAAGTACAAGTGGTGAAACGCAACCGTTGGAACTTCTCCGCCGCCTGGATAGACTACAGAAAGGCATTCGACTCGGTGCCCCATGCATGGCTAAAGAGAGTCCTCGAGCTGTACAAGATAGACTGCACAGTTGGAGACTTCCTCGAGCAGTGTATGGGGCAGTGGAGTACGATCCTTTGTCATCTGGGCGAGCGGGTGATGGCTGCGGAGAACCACATAAGGATAAGAAGGGGTATCTTCCAGGGCGATTGTCTGAGTCCAATCTGGTTCTGCCGCTCTCTGAACCCTCTCAGTGCCTTACTGGAGGGCTCGGGGAGGGGATTTCAGCTACGGAAAGGAGGGACAAAAGTGACCCACCTTTACTATATGGATGACCTCAAGTTATTCGCCTCCAGTTGCTCCCATCTTATGGAATTGCTAAACATCACTTGTGAATTTAGCAATTCCATTGGAATGGAGCTGGGGACGAATAAGTGTGCGGTCCTCCATGTTGAAAGGGGAAGGGTTGCTAACTCTGAGGGCATAGACTTATCTATGCCCGTCAACTTAAGAACCCTTTCCGAGGCTGAAACATACCGACCCCTGATAACAGAACATCGGTATCAATGAGGCTGGTATGAACAGTTAGTTTGCGACGTGTTTTATGCACGCTTGATCAAAGTGCTTAACAGCATTTTGTCCGGTGTGAATAAGGCACACGCATATAACGGCTGGGTCATGCCTGTCCTCATATATACCTTTGGCATACTCAGGTGGACTCAGACTGAACTTAACGCCCTGGATAGAAAAGTCCGCACTACCATGACATCCAATAGGATGCATCATCCGAGATCGTCGGTAATGAGGCTGTACTTGCCGCGAAAACATGGTAGGCGTGGCTTCTTGAGCGCGCTCACCATGCATAATCGCGAAGTGTCAGCCTCCGTATTACTTTCTGGCGAGATCGGATGATCCATTCTATGAGGACGTCATTTCTTGTGATAAAGGACTTACCCCTCTATCCTTAGCCAACGAGCAATGGCAAGACCCGGCAGCGCAGAGCATTTTCGACCGGGAGACCGTATTGAAGGAGAAGGAGCTCCACGGGAGGTTCTACAAGGCTTTACATGAGCCTTTCGTAGACACAGTAGCCTCCCTCCACTGGCTACGCTTTGGTGATATCTTCGGGGGAACCCGAGGGTTTTGTCTGTGCAATACAGGATCAGGTTATTAAGACCAACAACTATCGAAGATACATCCTAAAGGATGGCACCGTCGACATCTGTCGAGCTTGCCGCCATCCCGGTGAGTCACTTAGGCATGTCATCTCCAATTTTTCGGCGCTTTCTAACTCTGAGTACTTGCACAGGCACAACCTAGTAGCCAGAATTCTTCACCAGGAGCTCGTCCTGAAATACGGTCTCGTGGATCGGAAATTGCCGTATTACAAGTACTTGCCGGAAGCCGTGCTCGAAAATGATCGCGCCAGGCTCTATTGGGACCGGGCCATCATCACAGACAGGTCTATTCTTGCAAATAAGCCTGATATTGTGCTGGTGGACCGGGCACAGTCAAGGATATTTTTGGTCGACATTACCATTCCGTATGGCGAGAACCTCGTGAAAGCCGAAACATAAGCAAACAAAATATCTGGACCTGGCTCACGAGGTGACCGACATGTGGGGTGGTCTGCCGACCGAAATTATTCCTGTAGTCGTCTCTGCAAACGGGCTAATCCCAGTCTGCCTCTCGGGTCATCTGAGGCGGATGGGATTCCGTGACGGACCGCTCCGGGCTCAAATGCAGAAGGCGGTGCTCCTCGATACTGCCCGCATCGTCCGCCGGTTTCTTTCCCTTTCCCCCTAACCCTCGGCCGCTTGGTCTCCCCTGCCGAGGGCCTCCATCTGGTTGTGTTTTTATATATATATTATTTTTAATTTATTTTATGTTATTGATAATTATGTATATTTACCTTTTCATTTTCATTTATAATTATATATTTATAGAACCCAACCAGATGAGAAAACTATATTGATACCCCCCAAATATAATAATAATGTTTATTGATAAACTAAATATGGTACACACTTATAATCTAATCTTAAGATTAAAGTTTCGGGTAGAACAAACATTTTTAAAACAATAGATACTTGAATGCATGTTATAGTTTCATTCGAACATGAAACAAGTTTCACCACTAAAACTGTGAACATTTATTAAGAATGTAATTTATGTTGTGTATTTAATAGTACAAAATTGAAATTTTAATTTTAATTGAATAAATCTTAATATTTGGAACATTGGAACGAAAAGTGTACACTATAAGATAAAAATTGCTAGTATTTAAACTAGGCCAAGCCTGTGTCTTAAGTAGTTTCTTCTTAAAGTAAATTAACATAGAATATACAATTAAACGCTTTACAAATTACTACTTTTTAATAACGTGTTAATAGGTGCTTATAATTATTTAATATTGTTTTATTTTAATTTAAGTTTAAATTTTAGGAGTCATTTTTTATTGTAAATAGATTTTCAATGTCGTCATAAGTTTGTGATTTAAGCCAAACTGTCAACTTTTTTGCAATTGTATTTATTAAGCGGATGTATATTAATCATTCGGTTAATTTTATTATTTAGAAAAGGACCAATAAAACATTGAAACTTTTTAATAAAGTAAGTCCTAAAGGGAATATACACACTCTGTCTTTCCTTCGCGTTTAGGGTTGTTTTGGGTCGTAAGACTTTCTTATGTTGGGATAAGATCGTATCAACTACGTACAGTTGGCTTACCGTCAGTACATCGCACATAGTATACAATTCAGCATTGGGAAATCGGTATGGTTTAAAAATCATAACCTTAAGTGGGTAACGCGGGTTGGGCCCTTTCAACTCTTATTATATGAGATTTTTTAACACCTCCCCACGCTCTTATGCAATATGATATTACGGATTGGGCCATGGCATAGTAGACTGATTTTAAAAGTTCAATGTCAGCAACATGCCGCAATGTTTTGAAAATATAAATCAGTTTCCGATTTTTTTTTCTGATATCATTTTAATTTGTGGTATCCACGTTGTACAACGTGTAACAAAAACCCTGTGGTTCCCGTTAACTGAGTTATCAGAATCAGTATCCAAGCGTATAGAAATATTTTTTTTTTCAAAAAAAAAAACATTTAAAAAATAATTTTAATTGAAAAAAATTAATTTGCAAATTGTATGTGGTTTTATTTCCTCTAAATCACACGAGTATAGGTTATACAGGGTCTTTGACAATCCTCTTACTCCTCGGCCAATGCAGAGATAATAAAACCACATACAATTTGTAAATTAATTTTTTTAATTAAAATTAATTTTTTTTAAATGTGTTTTTTGAAAAAAATTATTTCTATATGCTTGGATACTGATTCTGATAACGCAGTTAACGGGAACCACAGGGTTTTGTTACATGTTGTATGTTGTCTCATGCCAATATAATTTAAGGAGAAAATAATAACAATTAAGTTTATCTGAAAACATTTAATAATTCTTAAAAATTACAACAAAAGTTCAATTTTGAATAACAACTAAAAACATTGCACTCTGCTTACATTAGGGTAGCCATAATTTGTTATAAAAATACTGTATTTACATAATGAAATATTGAAAATGAATAAACCATGTCGAAGTATTTATTTTAGTAAGACACATTTTTCGCGCTTTTATCGATCACTATACAACAACAATTAATAAAGTGAATATGAACATACAGCAAAAATTTATTTTCCATTGAAATGACTGCAACATATTTTATACATTATACACTTGGAGAATCATTCTATACATAAATTACTAATTCAGCGTAATTATGTCAATATCATGACAATACACAAAATGAACAAAAATTATTAAAGTAGGTTAGCAAGCATAGCCGGTGTTTTCGATTAAAAAATCGGATTGAGTACATTAAAAAAAATAATGTAATACAATATTCTACTTAATGAACACAATAGTTATGAATTACGGATGGCAACTCCAGGCAATACGGAAACATTTCCTTACTATGCACGATATATTACCGAAACATAACAAATCATTACTGTGAAATACATATTATAATATAACCACGTTTTAACCCATTAATGGTAGGTACAATACTATTGATGAGTTCTATATTCATACTCAGTGGAAAATAGAAACATAATTAAGTCTTCTCATTATAATAATTATTACTGACAGGTAAGTGGCGGTGTAAGAATATTACAACACACAATCTTCTTGTGTCATCTCGTGGGTAAAGGTTTCTTAAACTAAATCACATGCCCCTCCGGGTACATAATTACAAGTGTACAAGAACCAAACGAGCCCATACAGTATATAAAAGAATATTATATATTGTTTGAGATACAAATTATTGCACGAACGCACTTTGAGAAAGTAGTTTGTTCAGAATCATTTACTGAATCGATTCCTATCATTTTTAATATAGGAAATTTTTTATCCCAAAAATAATTAAAACTACGTAAATTACAGTCACACTAAATATGTACAGTCAAAACAAACGGAAATGGACCGTAACTTAAGGCAATAAGACTTTTAAGAGCGCAGTTTTACTTGTATTATTACTAATTCTGTCATTCAATAAAAATAAAGAAAAATGAACTTTATTTCAAGCACGTTAAAGTCTTTACGTTCGTGGATTTGTACTGTGACCACAACATTCTTCCGGAATTAGTATAACTAATTTGATAAATAATCAGTGCATAAAAATGTTTAACTAAAAATTCAGTGTATGTATTATGATTATAACATAATATACTAATTGGGGTGTCTTAGGGTGTGCGTTAATTACGTTACATATTGTATATATATGAATATATTTATATAGACAGAATTGCGAGAAAAACTAATGACAATACAAAATCCTTTTTAAGAAGATACATATGTTAAGAAACCCTGACAGAAATCAAATGAACAATTGATTTACCTTGGAAATGGAAATCACTATTACTTTGAATAACGTAATTGGTATAGTCTGGGAATTTGTGACACACGAGATCCACCGTCCTCTTCTCTAGACACACAAGCATTGCATGGACAACACGCCGAATTATACCACTTCTTCTTATTCAAGAAGCAAATCTTCGTATCATCCAAACGTCACTTCCGGTGGACTCACGTGGCAGAAGTCTGTCAGCGGAACAATTACCACCTGTATCTGTAACGTATAAAAATAGCGCATATACTAAATTCACCAGAAGAAAATAAAGAATGTTCAACTTCCAGTTTTATAGAGTATATAGACGGTATTTAAGTTCTAACGACTACCTGACGTCTTTAATTATTCGCATCCAAAAAAAGATGCTGTCGTTATTGTTACTGTTTTTGATGTCGTTATTGATGCTGTAGTTGTTATAATTGTCGTCGTCGTTGTTGTTATGTTGTAGTTGCTCTTGTTGTTGCGTTGCTGCTCTTGTCGTTGCCACTTGCGTGGGGGCGAGGGTGGCAAAAGATATAGTATCCCATACTCCCTCCTCTTCCGGATCTTGTTCATGAAATTCTTGAAAATAGAGAGTTTACGCCGGTGAGGGTGAGAGGCTGACGGTAAATTGTGCTTAGCAACGGTAGTTCCCACTATTAAGGATGGCGTTAAATTAATATATCGCAATAAAGGATGGTGTTTGCAATTCCGACAGGGACTCAGAGTCGCGCCTTTATCTCTTTTCCTCCTGGGTCTGTACCATTTCTGGCGGGGTATGGAGTCGCGGGGTATGGAGAACCTCAGATTCGAATCCCGCGTGAAACAAGTATGGCCTACAAATAATTGCCTCGGGTCTGAATGTTAGTCCTTGTGTCCTTTATGTATTTAAGCTGCCTTCACAATTCATAAAACAATGTTTGGGGTAACATTAAAAAAAAAGAAAATAACAAAGATAAACTTACCCTCAACTGGTCGCGGTTGGGTCCGAGCAGATGAGGTGGTTCAGGGTAGGCGCACGAGTCCACACACTTGGGACAGCGACTGCAATAAAAATAGAACAACTCACAATAGGGTGGACCGAATGTATTGTTACGAGCTTGAGGTTCGTGACAATAAAAACTGCCGATTGAATTACCAAAATTTACACTTTTATTACCGAATACCAATGAAAACTTAAAAGACACTAATAATTAATCACACTGATTCACTTTATTTCGCTCCGAAGCTTCGCTTGTCTCGCCAAATTCAATACTGCTCCGATCGCAGCTTGCAGCGGCATTAAATACACCTTTTCCACCGAAACATCCTGAATATTCCAGCAAATACGGGCGCCGACCGACCAGGCGCAGAAAGTTCGAGTGTGGGGCTTCTAGAAAGCTTAATTCTTCTGTTCGATACTAGATGGCGCTGTTGGTGGAAAGTTCAAGATTGACATTTTCTAGGAAGCCCTCCTCGCTCTGGTCCCCGACACTAGATGGCACTAGTGCCAGGTACCAGACGTCAACTTAGGTGCGCAACAGTATTAAGAAATAAATTAGGCTTCCTTTTTTAATCTGTTTAAGACTAGACATGTACAGTCGTGTTCTTTGTTTTTTTTTTTATATTAATTTTGTTGCACTTGTTTCCTAGCTTGACTATCAATGAATCATGGGAGTATTCGAAGACACACCAGTCACACAGATCATCTTTCTAAGTTATTTTTAGAAGAAATTAATCCAATAAATTACCATTAATAAGAAAGGGCAATAAAGGCTCATTGTGTGAGAGATCCAGTCTGGCCAACACTATAGCCTTCCGTTCGGTAACTATTTGTAAATAAGTTATGCATACTAGTAACGAAGGAAAGACTTGTGAAAAATTATTTGTTTCACCTATCTGTACTTGTTTCAAAGAATTATTTAATATTTATATTATTATGAAAAAACTGGTAAAATGGAATCCTTTTGGGACGAATACAATACTTCTAAGTTATTTTGAGACGCTCATTTGTCACTCAGATCCTACAAAGCTAATTTTCCCTGCGCTTTGCTCGCATGGACTACGTTTTACCAATATCTGCGATCATCTCGTTCTCTCTGTATGACTGTTTGTCTGTCTTAAACATTCTTGTCAGAGTTGAACAATAAGTTCACTCCATAATGTTTTAGTGTAAGTACAAAATTTATAAACAACTTGACCACGGCGGTGATTTTTTTTAGTACTAAACCTACATAATTTTTTTTAATGGCACAAAGGTAACAAGCGAGCACAGTCCGCCTGATGGTAAGTGATGGTGCGGCCCGTTACCCTACATCTGTCCTTGATTAAGAATCATTATTCAGTTGACTTGTAACTTCTGAGGACAAAAATGGAATGGCCTCATTTCCACTAAAAACGATCTCCGGTTCTCTACACTCACCATACGAAATAGAGCAGCATTAAGCTGGTATTTTACGCTGGTATCCTGTGAGAACGTGGTCTTTCCTCAATTGAGCCGACCCATTCGTACTACTAACTTATTACTTATTACTAGGCAATATTTAACTCCGCTAATATTTAATAGAATAGATTTTATAAGAGATACGTCCAAAGACATAAGCACTGTAACATTAAAGAAAAGACTGAAAAATACATTCCTATGAAAAGTATAATGTAATATAATAAGTATTAATTAAAGATAGAGATATTTATTGTAATAAATATACCTAAGATAAGTATGTATGTAACAAAAAATACATATTAATGTATAACAAAAGAGCGCCATTATCGCCAACAAACTGTTGCACAGTTTGGCGATGTTTATTATTATTTTAAATCTGTGTATTTTATAATAAATAATAAAGATTTTAAAAAAAATCTGCAGCATGGGTCTACTGTGTTGTAGTGTAGTGTGGTTCCATGTAGAGACACGTGATCAGTGTCTTCTTCTATAAATATAATATGATATAACTGAACTACGAGGGGTGACCCAAAAGTAATGATAATCGGTTACTTCAGGTCCGCATAAAAATCCAAAAAAAAAATATTTTTTGCTTGCTTATATACTCACGACGTCAGCCTAAAAAATCATATAAATAGATTACGATTTCCGGGAGATACATTCATTTGAATACGAACTATCAAAGAGATAACATCAACATGGAGAAAAACGAAATTAGAGCTGTCATCAAGTACCTCTGTTTGAAAAAAATGTCTTCAAAAGACATACACAGTGACTTAGTGAAAACATTGGGGGTCTCTGCTCCTCCATATTCTACAGTTGCACGCTGGGCCAAGGAGTTTAAACTGGGCAGAACATCCACTGAAGATGAACATCGCGAAGGACGCCCATCCACGTCCCTCACTGAAGACAACGTGAAAAAAGTCGAAATGTTGTGTTGGCAGATCGAAGAGTGACCATCAGGCATGTAGCTGAGGTCACAGGGATCTCATATGGCAGCGTTCAAAGAATCCTTGTGTACGAGTTGCATATGAAAAAGGTCTCTGCGCGTTGGGTACCCAGAATATGACGAGCACAAGAAAAATCGAGTTGAAATTTCGAGGGTCAATCTCGAAAAGTTCCACGCAGATCAAGAAAATTTTTTGTTCCGTTTTGTGACTATGGACGAGACCTGGATCCACCATTTTGATCCTGAAACGAAACAACAATCGATGACTTGGAAGCGAGCCTCCTCACCGACGCCAAAGAAATTCAAAGTTTCAAGTTCGGCAGGAAAGGTTATGGCATCTGTTTTTTGGGACGCTCAAGGCATTTTTATGGTGGAATATTTGGAAAAGAGAGCCACTATTACGGGCTCTTACTACGCAGACCAAATAAGAAGATTACGGGAGGCCATTAAGGAAAGAAGACGCGGCAAACTGCGAGCTGGAGTGCTGTTTCACCAAGACAACGCACCGGCTCACAAAGCCGCAGTTGCGATGGCTGCCATTCAAGAAACGGGATTCGAACTGCTCGAACACCCTCCCTATTCGCCAGATCTAGCTCCTAGTGACTTCTACCTTTTTCCTCGGCTCAAGGAACGCCTCCGAGGCAAGAAATTCGAAGACGATAGCGAAGTAATGGCCGCGGTTGAAGCGTTTTGGGAGGGTCAAGACAAAGAATTTTTCTCAAAGGGAATCCTGGGTTTAGAAAGATGGACTAAATGTATTGATTTGTTAGGAGACTATGTAGAAAAATAAATTATTATTTTAACTTTAATTACCGTTTTTTATTTTCATTATCATTATTTTTGGATCACCCCTCGTAATTAAATATTACTTCTACATTTCACGAACACACGTGTATTCCATATATGGAGGATATCATTTAATATTTTAGCTAAATTGTTTCATCGTAGTACCTACACTACAGTGTATATTTATTGTGAATATGTGTAATTTTTGTTAATGAATAAGTATTTTTTTTAATATTTGGACCTAAAAGGTGACAGCGTGGTAGAGTTATTGATAAATTTATATTTATAATAGTATTATCACACAATCAAAATCTATGGGGGAGGCCTATGTTCAGCAGGGGACGGTAGTAGCACAGTATCATATTAAAAAATACGTCCGCCTTTGATATCTGAAAATGGACAGTTTCGTAATAAGCACCCCAAGAAACCGAAATTTATACCTATATCATATTATAAAAATGTCCATCTTGGATATACATTGTGATGCCAGTTTCGTTAATATAAAGCACCCAAGTAATAATTAAACCCGAAATTGATACCCATATCATATTATTAAAAAAATGTCCGCCATCTTGGATATGAAAATGGATGCCAGTTTCGTAATAAGCACCCCAAGAAACCCCGAAATTGATACCCATATCATATTATAAAAAAAATGTCCGCCATTTGGATATGAAAATGGATGCCAGTTTCGTAATACGCACCCCAAGAAACCCCGAAATTGATACCCATATCATATTATTAAAAAAATGTCCGCCATCTTGGTTATGAAAATGGATGCCAGTTTCGTAATAAGCACCCCAAGAAACCCCGAAATTGATACCCATATCATATTATTAAAAAAATGTCGGCCATCTTGGATATGAAAATGGATGCCAGTTACGTAATAAGCACCCCAAGAAACCCCGAAATTGATACCCATATCATATTATTAAAAAAAAATCCGCCATCTTGGATATGCATAATGGATGCCGGTTTCGTAATAAGCACTCAAGAACCTCGAAATTGATACTCATATCATATTATTAAAAAAATGTCTGCCATCTTGGATATAAAAATGGATGGCGTTTTCGTAATCATCACCCCAATAAACCTTGAAATTGACATCCATATCCTACATATATAAAAAAATGACCGCCATCTTGGATTTAAAAATAAATGCTATTTGTAATTAGCACACCGAGAAACTTAAAATCCCTAAATCTTAAATTTGATAAAAAAAAAGACCGAAGACGAGGCACTATAGTATGGTCTAAAACCTTAGCCTGTCCAACCACACGATTTAGATGAAGAAAAATCAGTAATGCCCAGCGACTAGTACCTATTTTTTACGTCCGCCATTTCTTTTACGTTGGCTATTTGGCATGATATGTCAAAATATACATAATGTAAAAAATAATAACAATATTTATTTACCTTTTTTCCGTGTGCGGAATTTGGTGAAATCGCAGATCTTTATTTATGCGAGATGACGAATTGCAATCTCTCACAGCACACGTCGTATGAACCATTTTAATTATAATTATCAACAACCAAATTTAAAAATAATAAAAGCAAGCGCGCGTTAACCCTGGATTTCGTGTCCCGAGCTACTAATACGATTGGCATAAGCAGATCGGGCTCGTCTTTCCCGCGTCTCACCCCACACACCCCGCACGATTGCCCAGTCTAGACGTCTTTGTCGGACGACTGTATGGATTTATAGACTGTGGTAGTAGGTTGTAATGGTATCTTGTATTATGGTTGAGATCATGATTGTAAACTGAAAAGATATAATAAGTATTTAAGTAGTATTATGAAATGTAGTATTATTGTATACTAACGCGGGGCCTTTGTAAGCAGCGAAAGACGTTTGAGAATGCGAAGGCGTGTAGAGAGGCGTGTTCAGCTCGTCGAAGTCCAACGCGTTGTCGATATTCAGCACTCTGAAATATTATTATAATTAGTCCATCTTATTCATAATCGTCATCAGCAGGTAAATGTAGTATGCTATGTACAAGATGAGTAAAATGTTAATAATGTTACCAGCTTAGGGTTCGTGACAGTAAAAACTGCCGATTGAATTACCAAAATCGACACTTTAATTACAGAACACCCCAATAATAACTTCAACTTTAATTACAAAACTGTAACTGCCTACGTGTAGGAAGTTCTAGTATGGAATTTTCTAGAAATATCTTGACTCTCCTAGTTCTGCTACTCGATACTAGATGGCGCTAGTGGTAACTAGTGGTAACTAGGCATTAATTATGGCCCGCAACAATAAGTTAATGCTGACGAGGATGAGAAAGGGATGGGCGAATAAATGAACCGTTGTATTATTTGCCAAAATAGTCACGACTGGCAGACAAATTGTACAAAATGAGACCTTTGACATTGCTACACGTCACCGTTTGAGTATTTAACAAAAGTTGTTCCACTATCTATAGCATTTTTTACGGTATATATTATGGTAAGTAGCGAGAATGGGTCAGCTCGATTGGAAAAGGACCACGCTCTCACAGAATACCAGCGTGTATTTCGGATGGTGTGTAGAGAACCAGGGACCATTTTTACTGGAAACGAGGCATCCCATCTTAGTCCTCATGGGGGCAACATATCTGCATTTTGATTCTTAATTGAGAATAGATGTAGATGTCTATGAGCCCCAGCGTCTGCTTACCATCAGGTGGACTGTGTGCTCATTTGTCATCCATATTCTATTAAGTAAAAGCTATGAGATCTTTTAGCCATTTACCATACTCGTCTTTTACTACACCCACGGAACGAAATGAGATTTTAGTCAGTTTTTACGTCACAGCTCCACGGCTACATATATATTTATTAATTCTTTCTTTCTAATATCATTATCATCACACCCCATCAAATAAAACTTGTGCCTCTGCTAAACATAGGCCTGGCTAAGCCACAAAGCATGGTCTTGAGCCACATGCATCTCTTACTACGCCGTCACTCCATCTAGTGGGTAGTCGCCCAACACTTCACCTACCGATACTAGACTGCCACTCGAGGATCGTTCTTCTCAATCGGTTGTCGGTTCTTCAAACAATATTGCCGGTTCTTTATTAACCCATAAAAGCCCATTGCTACATCCCAGGATTGGTCACGCTTGGCTGGTGGAACGACATTCGCAGCTCCAGACGTTAGCACCTTTGACCATGCTACGTCTTAAGATCTTTCTGGGATCCTACTGTTACGAGCTTAGGGTCCGTGACAGTCAAAACTGCCGATTGTATTACCAAAATTGACACTTTAATTACTGAACACCAATTAAAACTTGAATCACACTAATAATTATTCACACTTTACACTTTCACTTTATTTCACTCCGAAAGCTTCGCTCGTATCGCCAATTCAATACATCCCCGATCGCGGCTTTCAACGGCTTTAAATAAGCTTTTCCACCGTTCAACTTTTCCACATCCAGAATATTCCAGCAAATACCGGTCGCGACCGACCAGGTGCAGAAAGTCCGATTGTGGGGCTTTCTAGAAAGATCTTGACGCTTCTATTTCTGCTGCTTGATATCAGATGGCGCTAATAATCAGCCGCCACATACCAGGTGCTAATTATAGCGCGCAACAGTACTATATACAATATAACCATATCATGAACTCACCTGTTCTGAGCTGAAAACCGATGCACTCTCTCCGTCACAGCAGAAATGTGCTCCACTCCCTTCTGGACGCCCCACACGAGTATACCGATCTGTTTAAAAAAAACTCAATAATATTATTAGCAGAAATCACAATCTGATACTTTTTAAGTAGATGTTCTATTTAAGAAATTATCGAAATGTATTTTCTTACGTAGTTTACAGACGTCTTACTAAGCTAGGTGAATAATAAAGTTCTCCAAGTATGGGTGCACTCTCTAACTCTATCTGTATTGATCACAGAAATTGCATTTCATTAAAGAGAAAAACAAGAGAAATGTTTAATAATTCGATTTTTTAATGTATCACTTTTTCATATTCTTACACTGTTATCCAATTCTGAGCTATGTCCAAAATTTCAAGTTTCTAGCTCATCGGAAAGTTAGTTTAAAATCAATTGCTAAATCCAACGCGAACAGACATAACTTTAAATAACCAGTTAATAAAAACTTTTTTTTATATAAAATGAGGGTGACAAGCGAGCACACAGTCCACCTGATGGTAAGTGAATGCTATGGCCCATATACATCTACATTTATCCTCGATTAAAAGTCAAAATACAGATGCATTGCCACTAACATAACATCACTAAGATGGAACGCCTCGTTTCCATTAAACAGGGTCTCCGGTTCTCTACACTCACCATACGAAACACAGCAGTATTAAGCTGCTATTTTACACTGCTATTCTGTGAGAGCGTGGTTTATCCCGGTCGAGCTGACCCATTCGTGCTACAATCATGATATAGCTGTTGCATGGCTCTACCGCGAAAAAAATGATATAAAAAATATAATAATATGCGACGAAGGTGGAACACCTTCGAATTTCTGTTGGTGTGAATTCGATATATCGTCCTTATCCCAGGCCTATACCCAACTAGGCCCAATTGGAAACTAATACAAATTGTGTTGTGTAATGTGTGTTGAATATAGACCGCACTCAGTCCTAAACTTCAACTAAAGCTGAAGGTACTTTGGGTTAACTTTGGCTTCGGGACGTCAATTATCTTGTCGTCACCATAACCGTGGGTGCTGCAATGCACCGAAATTCGCAATTCGGAATTGACTGATCGCGAGGCTCAGTAATAATTACCTTGACCCTGACATCAGGTTCAGGACAATATGGCTCCCCGGCTGCTACACTTTGACACGTGATGGATATCCTCACCGTCCGTAGAACTACTTCAGGCACCTGAAAAAAATAATTAGAATACCTATGTTAGTTTATTTATAGTCGTAGTGCGTTGTTCGAATGTCATAATACACGAGAAATTTGAGTTAGCACGCGGGGTCTGACATTAAAAAAAACTCTTAATATATTATGATATATAAATACTCACGGGTTCCAGCTGATCTGGAGACCTAATCCGTTTTATTACAAAAAGTAGTTTATAACCGCAACACGAAACAACCGCAAACTGTAAAACCAGTTCAAAACATTTATTTTACGAATTACTTAGATTATTCACGGTTGTTTATTTATTAATGATTACTTAGGTTTCCGATTATTCTTCATGCTTTTTTTATATGACTATTTAACTAGGCTTAGGACTAGCAGATAAGTTTCTTAAGTTAAAACTTAAGTTCCCAGTAGTAGATTCATAGGACAACGTTCTTTGACAATATTTACAAACGGTAAGGTACATGGAATTTATCAAAGTGAGGCCATATTTTACTAGCCTCACGCGACGTCTTAAAAGTTTTTTTACAAAAATTATTAAGAGAGTCTAAAATTCTAAATCAACTTAAACTATAGTATACACTATTTTCACTGTACACGTAATTGTCCGAATTAAAACTAATGTACAAAATACACAAAAATATAGCAAATAAATGCATGAACGTAACGTCAAAAATTAATAATTTTATAAATAATATCTTAAAGAACGGCACGCGCCACCAAGGTCAAGTGCATAATTGTTGCGTTTAAAAAAATCAAATTCAAAAGTTTCCATTCGAAACGTAAACAAAAAATTGCCGTAGCTAAATATAATATGGTCTTACAAATCTAAGCCTTGCGTCTAACGACCTCTAGATATTATTTAAAATTTGATAATTCTCACAATTAAAAGTTAGGCAATTTTAACCATTTAAAATACGACCTTATTGCTTTAGATAATTATATTTCGCGATGTGCACCGTTGTGTGCTGTGATAACTGATAAGTACCAAAACATGGCAACGAAAACCATATTTGCTTCATCTCTTTCTATACTTACTTATGGTATCCGAGAAGTAACGAATATCAACGAAGGACATTGGTTAGTTCGTGTTCGTGAACTGTTTTAGCAGATCGTTCTGGCACAGTTTGCGTTATGCGTTTCGTTTTTGTACGTTGGTTAGGTAATTGGTTTTGGTTGGATATGTGATAACGGTTATGTACTTAGGTTTATCGATAGGATATGATATTTTGATAACATAACGATTAATTTTTGACGATTGATATATCGGTCTCATGCCTAATATGCAGTCAGGGCTAGCGCGCAGACAGGCGACGTATTAGTGAATTTCGGAGTTTTTGACACTGTTTACGATAACAGATTTTTGTAAATAATTTTTGTTTATTGTTTAGTACATTTGGTTAAAGGATACAATAGTTGTATAAGTTTTATTGTAATTTATATATATTATAGAAAATACGTTCATTAATAGTTTTGAAAAAATATTAGTAAAAAAAACCACCAAATAATTTACTAAAATTATTAAGAAATATTAATTTTATCAGTCCATTGTTCATGTTTTACCTCCCAGTATTCATTTAAATTATAAGTCAGATTTAGAGTATTTTTGCTCTGTTGAATTTAATAACCGGTGAAAGAATATAATATTAAAGTAAAACAATTGTATATATAGCTCGTACGGATGAAGAATGGGATAAAAATGGCAGCTCATCAAGCCCGTACCGTCAACATGCACAGTTCCAATAGCTAAAACGCGTTAATAACGGTATATCATTATAACGTTCTACTATTCGTTTAATTGTAAATTTTCTTTTAATGGACAAATATTCACAAAGAATTGTAAACGTAGGTAGGTACATTAATTTTAAAATAACATATCTAGTGACCCTCTCTGGCTTCCTGGGTGGGATCTATTAATGTAGCGTAATTTCGACTTAAGATAATCATTAAAGACCATTAATTTTATTCTTTAATATTGCTATTTAAATAAAATTTCTTAATTTTTCGGATAAAATTTAGTCTAGACCACTCTCTATTTGTTCGCAAAGTTTTATTACGATCGGTTCAGCCAATCCGAAGATAAGCTCGGACAGGCAGACAGACGAAAAGTTTAAAAATGATTACTCATGTTTCAATAGTATGCAAATATTTTATACAAAAATATTAACAAACAAAATTGACAATAATTGAAAATCAAACTGATTTTTTTGTAGTTTATGACAATTTATTATCATTAACTCCAATGACAAGTTAGACTGAAGTTATAGTACGTAAAAAACGCGATATGCGTTTTCCCGTACGTAGTTTTTTTGCAGTCTTTACCGGCGGGTGTGAGTATAGATAGTGACAGTGTGTGAGCGAGAGGTGAATAGAAAAGACGCCATTATCAATACCATTCTTTAACTCCACGAGTAATAGATATACATACTGTATTTGTTACTCTTTATTGAAAGCCCCTAGGAAACCACGAAATATCGCTTGTGACGTAGGAAGGGTAAAAGACACTCACGTGCAGCGATAAAGTTTAATTAACAATAATTATGTAGACTATTAAAACGTGGGCAAGTAGTGAATATAAAAGGAGTGGAATTTCTGTACGTAGTACCATTATCTATTCTGCGGCAACGCTAAGATGCGTTCGTACTCACATCATATGTGCCGGACCAGGCAATGAGCATGCTCTTGCGGAACCAGACCCCCTTGGGGTAGAGGTCGACGGTCCACTCGGCGAGCTTGTCCTGCGGGTCCGCGTCGCTGATGGCGCTGCGCGTGGAGAAGATGAACGTGCGCATGTGGTAGCACGGCAGCGAGTGGAAGTGCTCCACGCCCAGCACCGAGCCCCACGTGTCCTCTGTGTACAGCCGCGGCGTGAACACCAACCCGCCCCCACCTCCACCCCCACCACGCCCCGCCCGCTCCATCTGACCTGCCCACACAGACTCCCATCAACCTATGTACGTGATAGAGCCATGCTGCAGCTACATTATGGTTGTGACACAAATGGATCAGCTCAACCGGGGAAGGACCACGCTCTCACAGAATAGCAGCGTAAAATACCAGTTTAATACTCCTGTGTTTAGTATGGTGGGTGTAGAGATCCGGATACACTTTTTTACTAGAAACGAGGCATTCCATCGTAGTACGCAGGAGTGACACGCAACGCACGCGTTTTGATTCTTGATCAAGGATAATGTAGCTGTCTATAGGCCACAGCATCCACTTACCATCAAGTGGACTGTGTGCTCGTTTGTCACCCCTATTCTATAAAAAAAACGCAGATGATGATCGTACAGTATCATCATCATTAAAAATTACGATTTAATCATAAGTTTTTCGGTTGATAGTGTATGTACATTCAGTCAAAAAAGTATCGGGAATGGATGATTTGTTTATGGTTCCAAATTCAATTTTTTGTTTCTTTTGTTGTTGTTAGATTTGCACAACTGTTCACCATATCTGGGGTGTATTACGAATTTCACTATGGACAAAAACATCGAACAAAGAGTTTAGTCTTAAATTTTGCATCGCCAACGGAATTTCGTGTTTGGAGTCACTGAAAATGTTACAGAAGGCTTACGGGTGAATCAACTTTATCAAAACCACGTGGTAATGAGTGGTACAAAGCGTTCAAAAGCGGTCGAGATGTGTTGGAAGATTTGCCTTGCTCTGGTAGGTCATCAACGTCTGCAACTGAAGTTAATTCAAAAGTGAAGGAAATAGTGACTGAAAATCCTCATTTATGCTTGAGAGAGATAGCCGCCGAACTTTCTGTATCGCACGAGTCGATCCGTACCATTTTAAATACTCACTTGGGTTTGAAACATGGTGCCGCTTGGCTAGTCGCAAAAGACCTGAATTTTCTCCAAAAACTCAAGACAACGGAAAAGGCTAGATTTGTGGAAAGAAAATTCTTGGATTTTGCACCACTTTCGCACAAAGCAATCATTGTGAACGAATTTTCGACCAAAAACTCAACAAATACCATCGAGCAACCACCTTATTCACCAGATATATGGCTCCAGCCGATTCCTTTCTTTTCCCTAAACTCAAATTACTACTCCGAGGTACCCGTTTTTATTCAGTAGAAGACATAAAGGAAACATTAATATGTACACTTTACTAACAAATTAACTTTTCCCGCAATGAATTATTTCAAATATTTTACCTTATTCTTAAGTGAACATGATGACATCGTTTTTTTCTTTTTTTTTTAATTTAAAAAGAATATTAACAATGCTATAAACATTACTAATATTCCCCCCTTAACCACTCGTGGTAAGCTTAAATTGCTTGTGATACGAGTGGTTCACGCCAGTAGTCGGATGGCGGATTCAAACCCACGACCTTTTTGAGTTCGCAGTCTGCGTCCTGCCATTAGGCTACTGTCGCTTAATTGAACATAATGTACGTCACTTTACGACGTGAAACATTGAGCTATTATGTATTACATACTAGAAGCGACACTGCATTTAGTTACGCTGTACCATTCAATTGCGGCGTAGCCCCGCACTTTACTCAGTTACTCGCTAGGCGCTAGTGAGTTGACACGTGTTGATTAATTATATTTAAAAAAATCTCGATAAAATATGCCTTGGTGTGTTTTTAGATATTGCACAAATAATTAAAGTAATGTTAGCAAATACCAAGGAATAACTTTTTATAGGTTAATAAGATACTTAATCAATAAAAAAGTACCACAGATTAATAATAAAATAAATTGTTCTTAAGACGCCATCTCGTGTTATGGAATACAGGTTATGAAATTAATTTGTTCAGATGCGATATTTCTGTGGGTACTTAAGTATAGGACAAATATATTATTATGTACAATTTTTTTATAGAAACATTAAGTTATCGTAATTAGGCAAATTTTTTTATATTTAAATCTGTTCATTATTATTTTATTTTATTTTTAGGTTTCCACATCAAAGTCAAAGTTCGTCCATTTTTAACTCTCGCGTGCCCAGCATTTATGAACGACTCTTATTCTAATTTAAATAAATATATTTATAATTTAAATAGTATATTAATAAGTTTTGTTAAACATACATTTAGTGTGTTTTTTATATTTAACATAGTTACCTTTTAAAATATTCGGATAAAAATATCATTAAAATGTAATTGTGTTACAATATTATGTAATATTATATTAAATAAGCAAATATAATATACAAAATAAATGACAAAATTTAAAAATTGTACTCGATATAATTTACATATTTAAACTGAACTTGTATAAGAAATGACTCAATGACAAAAGTTTAATCCTAAGTAACAACATCATCAACTAGACCCATTATTTGTACAATAATCATAAAGTTTGGGAACCACTTACTTTTTTACTTTGCGAGTATTATAAAATTAAGTATATGAACTCACCCGACTGGTAGCTCATCGCAATGGCCATATGTTCCATAAAAAAGTCCTTGTGCTCCTGGGTCAGTGGACACAGAAGCAACTTCGCCAGTTGATTTGGGCACATCATGGGGAACCTAAAATTTTTGAACAGGTATCCTAAAATTTTTAAATTAATGAAACATTATGTGATCCAAATTAAAAATTTTATACAGAGCCAGCGGTTAAGTGCGTTCAAGTTCCTGCCAAAACCATATCAGGAGTTAATGGACTTTTTTTATAAGATAAGGTGACAAACCGCCTGATGGTGTTTGCTGTGGCCCATAGATATCTACATCTATTCTCGTTTGAGAATTAAAATGCAGATGCGATGTCAACCGTGAGGACTAAAGAGGACTATAGAATGCCTCTTATCCAGTAAAGAGGGCCTCCGGTTATCTACACTCACCATACCAAACACATAGCAGCATTAAGCTGCTATTTGACCCTGGTATTCTGTGAGTGGTCCTTCCCCGATCGAGCCGACCCATTTGTGCTACAACTATACAATTACTATAGTTGCAGCATGGCTTTACCACGTTTAAAACAAGTTCAATATGTATTGTTTGTATATGCGTACCATAGAATACTATAATACATACATACATAATAGAACGGGGAGTGGGCGGAGCCCGTGTAGCCACTAAAATGTCACTAACATGTCGTCAATTCACACGCATAAATGTCAACACGAGATGTGTTTTGACGTTACAATCGTTTCCAAATGTCACATGCAAATTATTTAGAAAATGCCAAATTGCACACTTTAAATACAAATAAATATGTATTAAAATTTAAACGATTTTTTTAATGATGATCTTGAACAAGTCAGTAAAAAAAGTAATAAAAAAAGTAAAAAAAAGTCTAAAATGTGTAAATTTACTCAGTATGTCAACACAGCGAATCGGGTTTGTAGTAGTGATAATACTACGTAATTGCTTGTATATGTGCTCCTGGCGACGCCGACACTCAAACAAAATAAGTTTGACAGCTATTCTATTGTGTATTATAGTATTCTATGATGCGTACGTATGTGAACGTACTTGTTTTCGAATATATTCACGTAATTTTTGGCGCACCATACGCAACAGCAACATTCAGCTGCTATTTCATGCTGGTATTCATGTACATATGCGAGAGTTTGTCTCATACTCGTGTCTTGGCGTGCATACATAAAATCGTCCAAATGTTGTGCTGTCCCTTTATTATTATTAGTCATTTTAAAATTTATTTTCGTTGTAATAAGAACAAAAGTAACGTTTCCAATTTGGATTCCGTTTTTTGTAGTTATTTCTACCAAAGAGACCCCGTTCGTCTCATTAATCCCATGTGTGTCATAAGAGACAACTATTGGAAATGCAAGAAAGTAATGATGAAGCGAAAATAATATCTAAACGGCAATTGGTCCTTCGAGCCAGATCAATAAGTTGGTTGTCTAGATTTTTCAATTAAAATTCAACACGCACACACTTTTTCTAGTAAATGTTTTATACAATACCTCACATGTGAGAACACAGCAGCAACAAGAGAGTCCCAATGCGCCTTTATTTCAGATTGATCACTGTTATTGGCAGTATCTTCAGAAGTGTTACTGCAGAGGCCAAGTCTAACTCTTTGCCGGTTGAGCCAGCGTTCAACAAACCTGCGAATGATTTTTTTATTGTTCAAATATTTATAGTGTTCAATGCAATAATGATTATCAAAGATAAAGAAACTTTCAGGCACAAAAATACTCACTAAGTACAACGCGATATTTTGTTTTTTTTTGGTCACGAATGATGGCTAAGACGGAATGCATCTCTATAATATTATACGTGGTAGAGTCACGCCGCAGCTATATTATGGTTGTAGCACGAATAGGTCGGCTCGAACGTGGAAGGGCCACGCTCTCACAGAATACCGGCATAAAATAGCAGCTTAATACTGCTGTGTTTCGTATGGCGAGTGTAGTGATGCGGAGACCTGTTTTTGCCGGAAACGAAGCATTCCATCTTAGTCCACATGGGTGACAACGCAACCGCATTTTGATTCTTAATCGAGGTTGAATGTAGATGTCTATGGACCACAGCATCCAGTTACCATCAGGTGATCTGTGTGCTAGTTTGTCACCCTTTTCTATAAAAAAATATTATATTAGCTTTCTATACTCTTTCGAACGGAACACATCTGTGCAAGCAGTGCTGCTCATTGGCAATATTAAGAGGGTGGACGCTACCCAGATGGACTCCTAGGCGGTAAAGGAGTCCTTCCACCTAGCAAACAATATTTTGTGCGCCGTAATCATGATCTAAGCCTAGGACTAGGACTTTTCTACGTCTTATTTTATTGTGGCTTAATAAAAACATAAAATTACATAAACACGCCTGTCACCCAGATGGGTAGGCAGACTACAAACTTCCATTTGACACGATACTAACACATCTCTCACGTCTCCTCCACATCCATAGTCCCTTTTCAATATATCGCCAACTTGGTCGATAAACTTTCATCTAGGGCGTCCTTTTCCGACTCTTCCATTCACTTCTGCAACATAAATTTGCTTTATCACTCTTTCCTCATTCAATCTTTCTACATGACCAAACCACCGAAGCATTCTTTTCTTAATCCTGGTCACAACTTCATCTTGCAAGCCACACACTTCTTTTATCACACAATTTCTCACCCTGTCACTCAGATTCAGCCCTAACATACTTCTTAATGACCGCATTTCTATTATGTTTATTCTACTCTCGTGCTTCTTCTGCCACACCCAACTTTCACTACCATACGTTAAAGTGGGGGCTGCATTGTGAATTGCCATACATGCCTCTTTTGCTTTCCACAATAGCTTGTAGAGCCGAGTCGTATCTAGTAAATAGTTACACTAGGTACAAGACGAAATGAATGAGATGGAAGATAAAGATTAAGAATGGAAAATAATCTCTTAGGACATCACCACATGTCATGATTAGTGTTACCATTACTGTGACGCCTATTTAAGTTCACTGCACATAGACCTCTCCTTTAGATTGCATCTCAGGGGGGATATTTGCCATAGTTACCACACTTGGCAAGTGGGCTGGCAACTGCAGTTTTTTTTTTAAGTTCTTATTAGGAATAAACTGCTGCCCATCTCCTGATTTGTTTCCCTCTGTCGCCTATTACGACACCCACGGGATGATGTGGGGAGTGGATGTTCTTCCACTGCCACTACACCATGATTATACATTTATAATTACGTTTACCATAAATCTTTTTCAATATAACAATTGTTGTGAAAATAAAGAATAAAAAATTGAACAGGCTGATATCATCATATGTTGCAACGACCCTCACCGGTAGACGCTCATCTCATTATGTACAACCAGGTCACTCTGCTGCAGCAGGTGCACCAGATTCTCCCCCTCCAGCTCATCTAGCTCACTGTCTGACCACAGCCACTCCAAGTTCCACTTAACGAAGTTCTGGCAAGCCTTAACAATGAAAGAAGTAACAAAGCTACATAAGTATTATACAGAAATAAAGAGCTGGTTTGTGACATGCATTATAGACCATTTATAGGTTTATAACTTTAACTGTTCTACTGCTTCGTTGTTTTTCATGAGTTGTTTCACAGTTGCTTATCATGAGGGCCACGATCTCACAGAATAGCAGCGTGAAATAGTAGCTTAATGCTACTGTATTTCTTATGGTGAGTGTAGAGAACCGGAGACCCATTTTACTGAAAATGAGGCATTTCATCTTAGTCCTCATGGGTGACAGCGTATATCCTGTTTTTTATATAATAGCACGATGTCCGACACAAACATTGCCCAGTTTATAAACCAGTTACCAAAAACCTTATAAACTAATTTATTATTCCTAATTAAATTTAAACATACAACTTATATTCGATACTCGATAGGTATGGTTAATATTTTTATTATATAAAGTATTATTATTTTACTCCAAAAATCCACCATATTTCTTAAAAAAGCTATGTAGGAAAGAAGACTTGGGTTTTTAAGACGAATAAAGCGATACACTAATTGTCAAAATCCATCCAGCTGTTTGGAAGATACGAGGTCATAAAGAAATTTACAAACATACAAAATACGCGCGAAAAACATAACCCTTCCTTGCAGTCGGGTAATAAATGTAGATGTCCGGGCCACAGCATCCACTTATCCATACATCACGTGTACTGTGTGCTTGTTTGTCACCCTTATTCTATAAAATAAACCTGGGTTCAAATCCTGGGTCAGGCCAAAAATTAGTCGCCTGGTCTCTCTCCGGTCGTGTCGGATTACCGTCCCATCTGAGTCTTATAGTAGTGAGGGAATAAAGAGTGCACCAGTGTTTGCGTAACCACTTTGCCACTATAATCCTATCTTGCGCAGATGGCTAGTCTATATTGAGATTGCACGCCATGACCGAAATTCGGTCTGGAGGACATTATTATAACTTTAACAGAAACAGAAACTTTTTTATTCAATATAAAGATACTTATTGAGTCTCTTTTTTTATTTACCACTTTAACATTAAATATACACAATTATATATACAAATTACAAAATAAAATAAAAAAGGGAAACAAAAAAATAATTGTATCAAGGACTTATATAATATTGAAAACCCTTGCAGTAGACCAGACCCAGCCTTATAGAATGGTATATTTTAAAATAGAACCTTACCTTTGCAACTTCATTATGTCCACAGGCCATTGTATATTGCATCCATGAGATGAGTTTTCCACGTTTGGCAGCTTGAGCGATATGCTGTGACATGTATTCAAGACACAGCGTCACTAGATCCTATAAATATAAAAAAATTGGTTTAAAAACATATGTAATTAAATGAGATAAAACATAGTCATGTAAATAATTAGATCTAAATATTTAGTGATTTATATACAGTTTACCAGAAAATGGGGGAAAATATTCAATTTAATCAAAGAAAGAAATTTTATATGTGGTAGAGCTACACTGCAGTTATATTAGTAGTATAGCTGTAGCACGAATGGGTCGGTTCGACCGGGGAAGAACTACGCTCTCATAGAATACCAGCGTAAATTAGTAGCTTACTACTGCTATGTTTCGTACTGTGAGTGTAGAGAACCGGAGACCCTTTTTATTGGAAACGAGGCATTACATCTTAGTCCTCACGGGTGACAACGCATCTGCATTTTGATTTGCAATCGAGGATACAAATTGTAATGTAGATGTCTATGGGCCGCAGCAACCATTTACCATCAGGTGGACTGTGAGCTCGTTTGTCAATCTATAAAAAAAAAGATATAGATTTTCAATAAAATATTATACAGAATATTTAACTTACATTGACATTGTACTTATCAGCCAAAGAGAGTACTGGAAGAACAGTTTCATGCGATATTTTTATTTGGCCGGTATAAAAATACCTAAAACAAAAGCAACACAAGGAGTAATTTTACTCATCAGCTTTTTGAATACATTGGGATGGATACCGAGCAAAATAATAAGTTCTGGTCTGAAGCTCATAGAACGCCGGTATAATTACGTGCTGTGAGATATTCCATCATAGGTCTCGGAGGTGACAATGACAAATTATACATATATTTCTTTTACGTGGTAGAGCCATGCTGCAATTATATTACTAGTTTAATTGCAGCACGAATGAATCAGCTCGACTGGGGAAGGACCACGCTCTCACAGAATACCAGCGTAAAATTGCAGCCTAACGCTGCTGTGCTTCGTATAGTGAGTATAGAGAACCGGACACTCTGTTTACAGGAAATGAGGCACTACATCTTAGGCCTGACGGGTGACAACGTATCTGTATTTTGATTCGCAATCGAGGATAGATCTAGTTGTCTATGGGCCACAGCAACCACTGACCATCAGGTGGACTGTGCGCTCGTTTGTCACCCTTATCCTATAAAAAAATGCATATGTAGCTTTCTTTGCTTTAAGTTGGTTGCGGGTGTCCATGGACTGCTGAGGCCACTTACCATCAGGTGGTCCCCACGTTCATTTTGTTCGGTTTTATAATTTTTTTTAAATAAAAGTAAATTGACATGGCACTCAAAACATTAAAGTATTTTTCAATCTGAACTAGATAAAATTTTATTTTCTAGAATAAAGGTGACAAATGAGCACACAGTCCTGATGATAATAGGATGCTGTGGCCCACACACGTCTTAATTTATTCTTGATCAAGAATCAAAACGCAGATGTGTTGTCACCCCTGATGACTAAGATGGAATGCCTCGTTTACAGTAAAAAAGGGTCTCCAGATCTCTACACTCACCATACAAAACACAGCATATTAAGTTGCTATTTTACGCTGGTATTTTGTGAGAGCGTGGTCCTTCCCCGGTCGAGTCGACACAGTCGTACTACAACCATAATATAGCTGCAGTGTGGCTCTACCACACTACCATGTATAACAAGTGGTAGTGTTTCACACGTACGCCTCGAAAAGATAACAAAATATTAAAACTGAAGCGGCTTTGACATGACTTTCAATAAGTAATCTTGTAATTGATACTGAATAAAATGATTCTAATTATATTCTATGAAATAGCCTAATTAAAATTAGCTATTATACATATATTTCTTACAATTATTCATTACAACCTTTCAAAAGTCCACTGCTGATTGCCTGACAGCAAGGTTTTTTGACGTTGACACACCTTGTAAGTGGATTGGCAACCTCAGTTTTTTAATTCATCTCCTGATTCAGTTTCGCTCAGTTGCCTCTTACGACACTCACATGATGTTATGAGATAGGGGGTTCTCTAAGGGATCTGTTATGCAGCCACTGCATGGGACATTAATTTAATTCAATAGTGATTGATTCTACAAGCTAAATGAAATATATAGATATATATGTGTGTACATAATATAAATTTCTATCTATGTACTGACTCATTACTATATCTCTGCAACTATAAGGTCTAGAGACTTGAAATTTGGTAGGAATATTCCTTTCGCCGAGTAGAGGTCAGCTAAGAACGGATTTTACGAAAATGGGTGGATTTTCATCAAGAGGGGTTACAGGGCCGTTAATTTAAAAAAAAACACATTTTCAAACTATAGCTCTTATAAGTATAAAACTTGGCCAGAATATTCTTTTTGAAAATGTTAAAAATTACCAAGAACGGATTTTATGAAATTCCACCAGGGCAGTGCGGGGGTGTTAAAAACAAAAATACACATTTTTAAACTTTTAATTTACAGGTGACAGGTAGTCCTACAGGTTTGAAATTTGGCGAAATTATTATTTTTGTCATCTTGAGTTCAAATAAGAACCCTTTTTAACGGTATTCCACTCACGAAGGAGATTGCGGGAGCGTAATTAATATTTTTTTTCTTTCATTACAGAAAGAAAAAAATATTAATTATAGTTCGGGCTATAATTAATAATAAAATTAATCTTTAGAATTTTTTGTGTGCATTTGAGTGGGTTCCTGGATGATTTAAAAACTCAATTTGACTCGGCTGGAGGCGATGTTATCAAGATCCAGAATCACCTGTGCGAAGCTGAGGCATATCGCTAGTCTTTGTATAAAAAATGCAACAGAAATAAATACTTCAATTAATAATCCTATAGCAACTAGTAGTACTTAAAATATATTACTTAAGAAAATGTGGGAAGACAGAGGCAGCCGAAGGAGTCTCCTGTAACACAATGCGACTTTCTCGCCATTCGCTCCATTCTCGATTCATCAGCATAACCTAAACATAAAATAAACTTTGATATTAAATTGTATATATTACTACTGTACACATTGAATAAAAATAATTACAAAGTAATTTTATTCAATGTGTAGTGTTTGCGTAAATATAAGAAATCATTTGCTACAATATAGCAATATGAAAGCCAGACCCAATTGCTGGTCTGGCATATTTATACAAAATTGCTTCGATAAGAATCCTTAAGATATGCCTGGCTTTTCCCGTAATCACTTCTTATGTCACCCAAAAAATGACATGATGTTATGATTTCCCTTATACCACTATACTATTGTGCATTGATTGCACAATATTATTTAATACAAACTGAACTATTACGACTAATGTGTAATGTTACAGCCTGTTAAAATCCAATGCTGAATATAGACCTTAGATTGCCACATAGGGGGCAGTATTTGTCATAGTCGCCACACTTGTCAAGTGGGTTGGTAAACACAGTTTTTTATTTTAGCCATTATTAGGAAGACGCTACTGCCCATTTCCTAATTTGTTTTCCTATGTCGCCTCTTTAGACACCCACGGGATATGGGCACGGGATAAGGCAGTGGATGTTCTTAGACAGTATTATATATATATATATATATATATATATATATATATATATATATATATATATATATGCAATTAAAACTTTACCTGGAACACCTCACTACTGGCACATAGAATCAGTCGATGTGCAGGATACCCCACTCCTGCAACCTCAAGGATTAAGTCACTCATCAACTGCTCTGCATAAAGTGTTGCAATCTTGAGTAGAACACTCTTCGAATTATCCACCTGCAATCAAGACATGGTAGTGTGCCAGGCAAGTTCGGATAACAATAATGTAAGAATAAATAAAATAAATAAATGATGTCCTCAAAACCCGAATTTCGGTCACTGCGGCCAGCTTCAGTGGAGCCTAGCCATCAGTGCAGGACAGGATTATAGTGCCCAAGTGTACGCAAGCGCAGGTGCACTCTCTATACCTTTATTCTCATATTCCAATCAGGAGGGATCAGGCGCAGGACCAACAGCTTTACATGCTTTCCGAGGCACAAAGGTGATACACTGCCAACTTCGAAACTAAGGGCGTTGAGAATTTCTGAAAAAACTCAATAACTGATATTTTTGCCCCATGTGGGATTGGAACCCGAGACCTCATGATCAGCAGTCACACTACTACAACCACTAGACCAACAAGGTAGTCAAAAAATATCATTAACTTCAATAATATAAGTGATTGTGTGACGAGTGATTGATTTCTTTTCTCTTACTAATAACTAATGTTTATTAGGTACTGCTATGTGGAAAGACTACTTTTCTACCTAGGAGCCCATCTATAGCATATGCCACCAAATAGTAGTGCTTGCACTGCTGTGTTCTGAGTTATTCAGCTAGTTAAATTACAGTCTATGAGGCATTCCATCTCATTAGTCATATTTGAGGTTGGGTTACAGGTGTCCAGAGGCTGATGGTGGGTAACTATGAATGAATATAACTTGCTAAGTCAATTAAACATGAAACATACAATTACCAGGTATTGTAAATTTCATTTGGAGCCTTCGATCAATAATAGTACTATTCGAAGTTTGGAGCACTTTTAGAGCATGCAATACCGTTATATCGTTACCGCAATGTCGCGAATTTCGCGTTGTATTTCAGTACCGCAAAAGCGAGATTACATTACGATTTTCACGGTATTAAAAACGAACCGTGATGGGGAAATCCCCCCACGAAACGTCGCATGTACTCGTGCATGCGTCGGGGAATTCCCGAAAGTAACAAATGTTTTTTTATAGAATATAGGGTGACAAACGAGCACACAGTCCACCTGATGGTAAGTGTTTGCTGTGGTCCATGGACATCTACATCTATTCTCGATTACAAATCCAAATTCAGATGCGTTGTCACCCGTGAAGACTAAGATGGAATGCCTCGTTTCCAGTAAAAAGGGTCTCCGGTTTTCTACACTCACCATACAAAACACAGAAGCATTAAGCAACTATTTTACGCTGGTATTCTGTGAGAGAGTGGCCATTCCCCGGTCGAACCGATCCATTCGTGCTTCAACTTTAATATAGCTACAGCACCACGTAAAAAACTTCTATAGTCTCAGATAAGTATTCTGTCTCAGTCTCGCTCTCATGTCATTTCCGAGTAGGTGAAATCCTAAAAAAGTTTGATACAGACTTTTTACGTAAAATCAAATCTAAAAATGAATACTACAACTATAATTAATGGTATTGAATTCAAAGATTTCAAAAGTTCTGGTATTGGTTATGAAAACATTTTTTGCAATCTACAGATTGTCAATCAGCGAAGTGTAAACTATGCCCGGGTATTATTAAAACTAGTGGACGATCAACAAGCGGACTAAATGCTCATTTACCCCCTAAACACAGAATTGGTGCTGAAATTGTTAACACCGAAGAGATATCAGAAGAGCTTGATTGTCCTGACGTAACACCAACTATGAATCACAGCCAATCTACTGAAGTAGCAGCTACAGCCCCAACATTATGTAACCGACAAAGATAACCACATTGAAAACCTACCTCAAAACCATAGGCAAAAAAAGTAAGACACCACACTGTTTTGAGAAATCTGATTCTCTTTTTAGATTCTCTTTTTATGAAAGCGTCCCGTATGGTGGCAAAAGATGGATTACCATTTAAAATTTACTGAAGATATAGGATCATTGTTTGTAAAAGCGATATATAAGTTGCCTCAATCCCCTAATTCCATTAAAGATAATATGGTAATGAAATATGGCCCTGAAGTGAAAAAATAAAACAATTGATTCAACAGTCTATAATTAAAAACACAAAATAACCGGAAATTCAGTATAACTTTCGACGAATGGATCTCTTTTTTTTATAGAAGAGGGGGCAAAGGAGCATGCGGCTCACCTGACGTTAAGTGACTACCGCCGCCCATGATCATCCGGAAAAATCGCCGGTGGTAAACTATTCCACAGAGAGGTTGTACGCGGAAGAAAACTCCTTTTGAAACGTACTGTGGTGGACCGCCAAGCATCCAGATGGTGTGGATGGTATCGGGACGTTTGCCGCGTAGTGCGTTCACGAAATTTGGCGGCTGGGATTAATCCGAACAAATTCCTCAGAGCACTCTCCATGGTATATGCGAAATAAAATGCAAAGAGATGCAACATCTCTTCGCAGTGCCAGTGAATCGAGCCGATCGGAAAGCACTCGGTCGTCGACGATTCGAGCCGCTCTGCGCTGGATGCGGTCAAGTGGAAGGAGCTGGTACTGGGGAGCCCCAGCCCAGAGATGGGAACAGTATTCCATGTGCGGCCGAACCTGCGCCTTGTAAAGTTGCAGGCGGTGTGCCGCCATGAAATACTGTCCCGCACTGCTGAGCACGCCAAGCATTTTATAGGCCAATTTGGCCTTCTCTTCCAAGTGACCACGAAACTGCACGTCACTCGATATGTCAACGCCGAGGATTCCGATACTGGCTGAGGTAACAAGGGGAGTGCCTTGAAACTGAGGAGATCCGACAAAGAGGTTCATTTTAGCGGTTAACGCGCAAACTTGTGTCTTCTGGGGGTTAAACTGGACTAGATTTAGTCGCCCCCAATCAGAGACTCTGTTAGTAGTTACGTTGTACCAGTTCTGGCGCACTTGTAGAAAGGTTGTACCAGTTCTGGCGCACGACGTTCGTCGACTCACAATCCTAAAAAAAAAAAAAAAAAAAAAAAAAAAAAAAAAAAGGTTTTGGCATGCTCTGATCACGAATCTGCGGTCCATTTTTGCGTAGGATGCACGGTTCCGGAGATGTGCAGATCAATTAACTCTTATCTAATTGATATCCGCTGCGAGCCTCAACCGTCATTAGCGCTCCATTGTCCTTATCTACTTATCTATTGTTGATTGACTACCGTCATTATCTATTATTCGCCCAGCGTGTGGGTCGGCTTATGCTATTGTATTATACTCCTTTGTTCCTATCTACAACACTAATCTGAATCATCAATAAAACACATTACCTGATTTTGTTAAAATTTTTATTTATGAAATACAAAATCTTATTACTTATTATCTATAAAATAGGAGCGAAACATCTCATCCACTAAAATATCGTTGTACAATGTGTTCTCTGTAAATATACTCGTAAAACTATGCATTGAACATCCCTGAAACTTATATAGCAAATACATTAAGCAATATTCGCCACAAACTGAAGTCCACTCATTCTGAATCCTATCAACATTCCAGTTCCATCTTTTACAATTTCTTTTAAAAAACTCTAGATGATATCGTACAGGTGCCCGTCCGAATGAATCAAAATATTGACCGACGTCATTCGTATCGATATATAAAGCTACCCAATGTGACCCTGGTTTATCATCTGTATCCAAATTGCATATTATATACGTTGGTACGTGGGTGTACATGGGTAGTTTATTGGCAGCATAAACATTATTTTCTAGAGTGGGGTGAATCTTTTTCAGATGTTGTTGTACATCTAGTGTATCCATAATATTACTGCTATTAGTAGATTATTACAGTACCAATCTACTCAATGACTAATATAGGAATGATCAATTATAGTGATATCTAAATATTAAATTGCTTTCTTTGTGTTATACAAAACGTATTTGAGTCACCAATACACTGAACAAGACATGACAGGAAGGACGTAGGAATGTAGAGATAAGCAACAGAATGTAAGGTAAGCTTGTTGACGCATAAAGATACTATCAATTCTACTGCAGAAATTCTTTAGATTAGAATTATTACTCACTGGTACTATATAAGACCAAGCAACTGCAGTCATGGAGTTAGTGTATGGTCGTTTGACCGCAGTGGATCTATCAATACTACGTTTGTGTTACTTCAACGCATCAAAGGCCATGGATGTAAGTGTTTATTCTATTGACAAACTTACTTTTCTTTCTGTTATTTTCTTACGTGTGTATGATTTAGTGTTAACAAATTATATTTAAATATTATGTGTGTGTATATGGTTAAGCCGTGGTAGCTCAGATGGTTAGCGCAAAATGTAAACTTCATAGTACACGTCCCGGGTTCGATCCCCGCCGGCACCAATTAAATTGTTAATTACAATTTTAAGTGCTGATTTACCACGTGCTCAGCGGTGAAGGAAAACATCGTGAGGAATGCATGTCTGAGAAAATTTCGAAGGCATGTGAAGTTTGCCAACACGCATTGAGGTATCGCAGCGAACATTTCCTAGCCCTAAAACCCTCTCAGAAATGAGAGGAGGCCTATGTTCAGCAGTGGACTTTAATAGGTTGTAACTTTAGCTTTTTTAACTTTTATGATTAAGTGTTAACAAATTGATATTAACATGATAACTGTGTTGTTGCAGAAATCATTGAGCTTCGATGAAAATACCTATAAACAGTATTACTACTCGCCACTCTCCCCTCAAGAAGAGAGTGATGACATCGTCATTAATAATAACACATGCGATGGTGGAAAAAGAAAATCGCAATCGATTGATCATTTTTTTGAAGCTGAATCAAAAATAAAAAAGAGGAAGCTGTTATCATCAACCGTAGCACGAGCCGCTAGAGATGGTGTATCATACATTTCTACTAATTCTGACGACGGAGACCAAGCGACGCATCTCATCAAAATTGAAATGTACGATATGAAGAAGCTATCCAAGATTCCAACTACTGATCATTGGAAACATGCTTCCACGAGGATTAAATATTACGTAAAGACTAATAAGGATAGCATCTA